TCCACACAGTATGTGGGATCTCAAATATAACAATAGTGTTCCCTTTAGAACCAAGATTTACTGTTGCAAAATGAATAGCTTATGCTAGCAGGGGTGGACAACTGGATCCCATCGATCAGCCAGCTCCTGACAGTTCCCCAATCCCAGCGATGGGTGGGCATTTAAGTTCAGTGTGCAATGAAAGCCTTGCTTGTAGCAGGGATCTTCTCAGTTCAGGAGCCTTCCAAATAGAGCCCAACTCAGCAAGGAGCCAAGTTTAAAATGAATCCGAAGCACACTTTTATCTCCCCCACATCTGACATCATATGATATTGAGAGTAGAGAACGTAGGCATGGCTGTGAGAAAATGGCCTTGCAAGTCAAATTAGGATCCCAGGCCTGCTCAGCACTGTGGGCAGAGGTTCCCCAAGCATGCATTACAGGTACCTAGCAGAGACATTCAGTTTGCAGTACAGTGGTACCTCGCAAGACGAACGCCTTGCAAGACGGAAAACCCGCTAGACGAAAGGGTTTTCCGTTTTGGAGGCGCTTCGCAAAACGAATTTCCCTATGGGCTTGCTTCGCAAGACGACAGCCCATAGGGAAATCTCCGGGACAGCGGGGAAGCGCAGCGCGTCTTCCCCGCTGTCCTTGGACCTCCTCCGAAGCCTGGTGGCGGGGCGGGGACACCTCCTCCCACCGCCGCCGGGCTTCGGAACGATGCCCCGATGCCGGGCGGCGGGGCGGGAACACCTCCGCCCGCCATCGGGACGATGCCCCGATCCCGGGCGGCGGGAGGGGAACGCCTCCTCCGCCACCCGCCATCGGAACGATGCCCCGATGCCAGGCGGCGGCGGGGGGGAACGCCTCCGCCGCCGCGCGCCATCGGGACGATGCCCCGATCCCGGGCGGCGGGGCGGGAACGCCTCCCCCCGCCGCCCGCCATCGGGACGATGCCCCTATCCCGGGCGGCGGGGGGGGGGAACGCCTCCTCCGCCGCCCGCCATCGGGACGATGCCCCGATCCCGGGCGGCGGGGTGGGACGCCTCCGCCGCCGCGCGCCATCGGGACAATGCCCCGATCCCGGGCGGCGGGGTGGGGACGCCTCCGCCGCCGCGCGCCATCGGGACGATGCCCCAATCCCGGGCGGGGGGGGACGCCTCCGCCGCCGCGCGCCATCGGGACGATGCCCCGATCCCGGGCGGGGGGGAACGCCTCCTCCGCCGCCCGCCATCGGGACGATGCCCCGATCCCGGGCGGGGGGGGGGGAAACGCCTCCTCCGCCGCCCGCCATCGGGACGATGCCCCGATCCCGGGCGGCGGGGGGGGACGCCGCCGCGCGCCATCGGGACGATGCCCCGATCCCGGGCGGCGGGGCAGGAACGCCTCCCCCCGCCGCCCGCCATCGGGACGATGCCCCGATCCCGGGCGGCGGCGGGGGGGGAACGCCTCCCCCCGCCGCCCGCCATCGGGACGATGCCCCGATCCCGGGCGGGGGGGGGGAACGCCTCCTCCGCCGCCCGCCATCGGGACGATGCCCCGATCCCGGGCGGCGGGGGGGGAACGCCTCCCCCCGCCGCCCGCCATCGGGACGATGCCCCGATCCCGGGCGGGGGGGAACGCCTCCTCCGCCGCCCGCCATCGGGACGATGCCCCGATCCCGGGCGGCGGGGGGGGAACGCCGCCGCGCGCCATCGGGACGATGCCCCGATCCCGGGCGGCGGGGGGGGGGGACGCCTCCGCCCGGCATCGGGACGATGCCCCGATGCCGGGAGGCGGGGCGGGAAGCCTGGGCGCGCTGATCTCAGCGCCCGCAGGCTTCGGCATGCTGGCACCTGTCCGCAAGCAGCGGCAGCGCTGCCGCTGCTTGCGGAGAGGTCCGCGAAGCCTGGGCCGGACAGCTTTTGAAGGCAGGCGGGGGGAGCAAAGACTTTTGCCCCCCGCCAGCCTTCAGAAGAGGTCCAGGTGAAGAGTAGCTAGCAATTTTGCAAGCTTAAGTGAAGAGTTACTCTGTATAATCATCTACTTTTGTGGAGCTATATTCTACAGTATACCAGGCACCTCACCGTGATACTCAGGCAATAAAAGCAAAGCAGTTTTATATGCAACTAGACTATGTGAACTTTGTAAAGAACAAGCTATTGCCAAATTCTAAAGTGTTAATGTTCACATTTCTATTTGGGGAAGTGGAAGGGAGAGGGAGAGGGGAAGGGGAGAGAGAGAGAGAGAGAGAGAGAGAGAGAGAGAGAAGGAAATGACAGCTGTGTGCTGTTCAAACATTCATCAAGCCAGGAAACCTTGGAGTATGCATCGAAAGTGAAACTGACTAATGTTTCCTTCCCTTCTCTCCCATATACCCCAAAGCCAAGATGCAATTATTACTTTAAACAGTACATAAATCAAATTAGTTAAAAACACAAACAAAAAAGATGTCACTTGCAACAAAGCATCACACAAATTAAATGAGGTTTCTGAGATTTGAAGTAGTTTGCTTTAATGATTTAAGGCATTCAAAGGAACACCTAGATTATGTCACGAGAACTGGATAAATACAAAAGTTTGTAACTAGAGGCTGGATTCAGTTAACTAGTTCCACTAGTGGTAGGAAGTGCAATGGCTCACGCTGGCATGTCAGGCCTCCCCCATATTGGCTTGGGTGAGGTGGGAGAAACCCCAGAAGGGTGTGCAGGGGGAGAGGGGAAGTCTGGGCAAGCAGAAATGCTTGGGCTAAAATAACATCTGTATTAGCACAATGTTGAATTCCTCTCTTTGTTTCCACATTTGCCAAAGGACTGACAACCTGAATGAAAACGTTCTGAAGAAACTCTGCATATACATGCCCATTTATTTTTCTTAAAATATAAATGCTAAGAGTTTTATGTCCTATTTCTCTTGTTGTTGTCATTGGCTTGGACCCAATATTGCCAACCAAAATGGCACTTAAATTAGCAGAAAGTCATCCCTGTCCCTCTTTATTGATTCTGCAGCTCCCCACGACGCATTCCATCCCATTCCATTCTGGAGGGTCCTTTGACCCTTAGGAGCAGCTTTTCAAGGGCTCTAATGTGGAAGATGGGGCAGGAAAGCCCCATTGTGTAAGCAGGGTTCTACACGTGCTTCTTGGAATCCAAGCCGTTATTTCATATATGCTATTCTGGAAGTAGAGGTAAATTTTTGTCACAGTTCTTTATTTCATAATATGGAGATTGAGAAGTATGGGCAACAACAGCATGGTTTCACATATAATGACAAACCATAGCAAGTCTTGGGCTCCCACACTTCCACTTTCCCCCATTTCTCTTGCACAGTAAGATGATCTTACTTACCGTTTCTACAAACCATAGTTTCCCGTTATGTCTGAACCAGAAAATTATAGTTTGATTTAGACATAGTTTCAAAGTAAATGAACAAGCCTGGAATGACCCTTAGGCTTGCATATTCACTCTCTCTCATGTGCTACAATGCCTCATTTCCTTGATCTGTAGCAAAACAAAATTGGCCCAACATCCAAACCGACAAGACGTACCAGAATTGTAAACCAGTTTGATCTTGATTTTCAAAAGCACATAGACAGACAATTTAATGCAAACAATGGTTCACCTCATAAATATTAGTGCATGAGGTGAGAAGGATAAACTGTGGTTTTGAGAACTGGGAACACAACTGGGAAGTGCAACGAAATGTAGACATATGGAAGCCTTCCCTAAGTAACATTTTGCTTTCCCCCATATTTATTTATCTACTTAATTTATATAGTTGCCCCATATCAGAAATACTCTAGAAGCCAGTTTGCTGTAGTTGTGTCTGACTAGGACCTGGGAGACCAGGGTTCAAATCCCCACTCAGTCATGAAGCTCACTGGGTGACCTTGGGCCAGGCACAGCCTCTATAGCAGCCTTTCTCAACCTGTGGGTCCCCAGATGTTGTTGGACTACAACTCCCATCACCCCTAGCTAGCAAGGCCAGAGCTCAGGGATGGGAGTTGTAGTCCAACAACATCTGGGGACCCACAGGTTGAGAACCGCTGCTCTATAGGGTCTTTGTAGGGATTAACTGAGGAGAGGGAGTGAACCATGTAGTCAGAGAAGGTGGGATATAAATGCAATAAATAAGCTCTTCTGTGTACCTCCTTAAGAAAGCTGGAGAGGCAAGCCAGATGGAGATGTCAGGCGCCAACCTAGCATCCAGAAATCTCCGTGTGGTCGTAATTGGACCCGCGCCAATAGCAAAATGTGCCTGGTACCTGGTTAATTTCTAACACTGGCAGTTCATATGCTCGTGTTTAGCATCCTAGGACTCTTTTGAGCAAAGGTAACATTACCAAGAGTTAAGTGATTGGGAATAAGAGGAGCCATAGCTCAGTGGTAGAGCAACTGTTCTGTATGCTGAATGTTTGATACCTTGCATCTCCAGGTACGTAAGGAAAAGAATCATGTCTGAAATCCTGAACAGCTGCTGCCAGTTAGTGTAGATAACACTTAGCTATACAGACCAATGTTCTGCCACTAAGGCGGTTTCCTATTTCCCATGTAAAATAACACCATGCTGTAGTTATTTGTGCCTTGCTCCTCTAGAAACCAAATATTCCCACATCATTATCCTTGACTGTGTTTATCATCATCCCTAAACTTCTTTCAAAATCTACACCTGATTTTAACCAGACATATGTGGTGCACCAGTGGCTTGTAATACCATTCCCCCCCCCTTTTTGTATCTTTAGTTTATCTGAAGTACACTAAGAGAAGGAAATCATTCTTATATACTCTCAAGGCCAGGTTCAAATTTCAGGCTCTGCTACAATTATGGTGGGCCTTGTGGATATTAAGTTCTGTGTAATGATTCTTAATAATCAATTTGTAATATGAAAATCATAGCAGACTACGCTATACATCTTTGGAGTATTTTGATCATGGCTAACAATAACTTTTACAACGGCTCAGTAAGGAACCATTATTTCACCTGAAAACATTTCACAATATGCGATCTCAACAGGAACAACAAGTATCAGATATGCTTCTTACCAGCTGAAATTCTCTGCGTCTGTCGTAGGCATGCTGGATACCACTATCTGCCCACAAGCTTCTTATTGCTGGAAGGAACTGCAAAAAAACTTGGGTCTCCACCATTCCGTGCGCCACCACTCCTGAGCGGGTATCAAAGGCCATCAGCATGTCACCATTTCTTTGGTTAGAAGGATTTCCCCAAGGAATATGAAGTTTCTCTCGAGCATCCACAAGGACTCTTACACCTTCAACAAAATTGAAAGCACTTTGTTATTTTCCTAGTGGTATTTATTTTAGGCCCAATAAACAGCTTCTCTCAAAAAGCAATGAGTGACACACATAGAGAGACCCGATCTAATGACAACAAGTACTGTAATGGATGGAAAATGGTCTGTAGTAGCCCCGACTGTTTTCTACATAACCAGATCCTGTGCAATTTGGGGCCTGGAGAATAGCTGTTTCAAAATGCCTAAGACAGCTGCTGGAATAGGACACTTAACAGCAGTCCAAAGTGGTAATCAGAAATAGGGAGGTTATCAGCTTTGACAAAGCATGTCTTCAAAATTTCTTTTCAAATAATGAACTATAGACATGGTAATAACTTGGGATGCAATTGCAAAACTGGCCTAACACTTTAATTCTAGCACATCGTGAAATAGGGTTGAGTGAAGAAGAAGAAGAAGAAGAGTTTGGATTTGATATCCCACCTTTCACTCCCCTTCAGGAGTCTCAAAGCGGCTAACATTCTCCTTTCCCTTCCTCCCCCACAACAAACACTCTGTGAGGTGAGTGAGGCTGAGAGACTTCAAAGAAGTGTGACTGGCCCAAGGTCACCCAGCAGCTGCATGTGGAGGAGCGGAGACGCGAACCCAGTTCCCCAGATTACGAGACTACCGCTCTTAACCACTACACCACACTGGTGAGACCTGGTTTTCAATCTTGTGACATATCGCCAGCTAAACATCATGATATACCAATATATCACGTCAGAAATAAGGATGGAGCTATGCAGAGGCACTGGCTAGCTTCACAGTTTTGCCCACATTGTGATTTTTGCGAAGCGCGCGCACACGCACACACACACACCATGATTTGCAATATATTGCCAGGTCAAAAATTATGAAACTGGTATCACAATATGGACTTCGAACCGTTTGGGACAATTTATCACCCAGTCCTATCAGGAAATAAGTCCTACAGACTTCAGTGCAGTCCAGCTTATCTTGAAAATGCGAAGAAAATACTATCCTTAAAATATAAGGTAAAAAACAGAATGTGTACAAGCTGTTACATTTTACTGATAAAATGAAAACACTGGCGTAACGGAGGGGCTAAGGGATTCAGTCATGAACAACTTGTGGGTTTAAAATTTACCTGCCATGAAGTTCCTACGTAACTGTAGGTAGACACTCTTTTTCAGCCTCAAGACACTTAACACTAACATATATTACAGGTGTGCTGCAAATATAATATCTGAAGCAAGGCATCGTTAACACTCTACTGTGCTATATGAATACTAAAAAGTACTGTTATTTGATGAAAAGTGGAAAGACATGTATAAGACCAGAACAACCTACTTTGGTGTCAAAGTTAAAAATATATTTGTAGTTTCAAAAACACTATTAAGTATTTCCAGTAAGATATTGATTATCTAGTATCAGTTATCATGATCCTGGAAAATAGTTGGTGAAATATATTCAGTCTCTCTTTCACAGACTCTCTTACTTTCAAAGTAAGCAGAATGGGAGAATTTTAGTTTTAAATGCCAAAACAGTTAGCATTGTGGCTATTAGTTGAGATCTTTTCATTTGGGATTGTTGATGCCTATAAAGAAAAAAAGAGGGACCATTTTACTGCAGATAGTCATGACGATAGAACAATATAATCTCTCTTTTGTAAACATAGGCTTGTATCCAACTGTATCCTTTGGCTCAACAGAAGGCTCTTTCATCCATCAGAGGCTTCCATGAAACAGGGAAAGGCAATTTTCATCAGTTTCCCTTTCCTTCTGGAGCCCTCAAACACCTCCCCCTACCCCTTTGGAACAGCGTGGGAGGTGCTGCAGAATGGGGGCTCTAGGGAAAGGGGAGCCAAAAAAAACAACCCCTCATTCCCCTTTTCACTCACAAAAGTCTCCACTAAGTGAAGAGCCTTCAATTAATGGAATGGCAATCTATAGCTGTGTAATATATCTGCATAATTTTCTCAAAGTGCCACCACTGTTTGATTCCCAAGAAGCCCAGCCATGTAAAATTCCTTCAATCTTAGGTGATCTAGTGTAACAACTGGGTGGAAAAAGCCTAAGGCAGCTAACATTTAGATCAGGTAGGAGAGACAGGCACATCCTGATGACACATGTGAAGAAGACATATATTAACCTGTGTAGGAATTTAAGAGAGCATGACAGCCCAGAAGGCATATTTTCTTGGCACAGAAAGTCTCAGCATGACAAGATTATGCTTACACTACAGATAACTCCCCATTCTTGTGCTCGTGTATAAATTAAGCACCACCATAGACAAGGCTGAGAAGCCAAGAGCCCCATCTTATGATTTTTGAACAGATTCTAGACACTTCAAAAACTGGAGAATCAGAGAACAACTTTCCCCTACATACAGATCAAGGATATAAGCAGCTCCTGCATACGTGAAGCTTGTAAGCTGTCATGGTACAACCTCCTGTACGCATCTTTCCAGAGAGCTATCTTCAAATATTTGAAATGTATACACTTTTTTGGTAGATACTTGAGATGGGAAGCACTTTCAGCTTTAACACCTTATTTTTGCAAACATATGTTCTATATGGAGATGTGAGGGCCCGTGGGGGAAATGGAAAAATTGAAGCGGGGAGAGATGGTCCCCTGAAAAATATGTGCTTCTCCCCCACAAAAAAGAAAAGAAAAAAGGATTATGAAATATTTTCATTTAGAATGACAAAGAAAGTATTTAGGCCAAAGTGTTCATATATTTCCCCCACCCCCTGCCAAATGATTTCTAAAACTATGTAACAGGAAGATTTTTATGTGAGACTATGTATGTACAGTATCAAATCATTACAATTCCTGCACAGTGAGAGCAAGTCCTGAGCTGTCAACTGAGAGTACAATGCTCACATGCAAGAGCAAGATGCATTTCGGTCCCTTGGAGGGAATTGTCACTGTCACATGAGAAGGAAGAAGCATTCAATGCCATCTTTGCTTGTGGTCTTCCTCTTACTGGCATATTTGTTGATCCTGTTTCTGTCCTCTCATCTAGGTCTCAAAGGACTGGGAGTGGGAGCTAGTACATAGCAACATTATTTGTTGTCATCTAATCACGTTGCTGTTGGATCCAAGATCAAAGTCATAAATGATGATAGTACTACTTCTGAATATGATCAAATTACAAAACAAACAGCACACTTAAGGTTTGTTGTTGGAAAGGTGCTTTCAAATGCTACAGGCTTCAGAACATCTTCACACATTTGGTCAAAGAATACAGTGTGGGATTGTGCCAAACATATCCCGCCTGCAGAATGATGGCAAGGTCTCTGCACAACAAAGTCTCTGACTCCTCTTGCTTCTTACATACTTCAGATTCCTCCATCTGCTCCAACATGTGAAAGAAACTGGTCTATGTTTGAAACATAAACAAGAAATAAACTGATTATGTGAAAGGACAGGAGTTTATTTCAATCTGGGGAAACCTTCAGCTTTTAGAGGTCCATGATAATATGAAGAAACAGAAAGTGATACCACAGAAAAAGAGACTGTTCAAATTTCATGTACTGTAGTGTTCACTGAGTTTTGTTCCTCCTCCCATCTTTCTCTTGGCTCTTTTTATATCTGTTTTATACTGTGGAGGACTGAAGAAGACGACATCATAATTTTCTGAATAATCATTTGTTTTATTATAATGTTGATGGTTTCTAGTTATTGTTCTTGAGTGCTCATTTACTGGCAAAACCAAATAAATGCTAGGTCCCTTACAGTTTGCAGCTTGAAGCTCAATTTTTTAATGAAAGCTTTAAATTCCATTTGCCTGGACAAACATTATTTTTAATATACCAGACATGATAATTCTATGGTAAATCAAGTTATACATAATGCATCTAATGTTCCTAAAGTAACAACATGCCTTTTAATATGTAAAGAGTATGTAATGTACAAGTATTGTATTTAAAAATAAATAAATCCAAAGAGAAGGGCATTCAGGGCAAACACTGGGAAAAAACCTTCCTCCCCTCAATGACTTCAAAATTCCCAGAAATCTTACATCTCTAATTCTGTGCTTTTTTACTCAATTGAGATTTGTACACATCAACTCCTCTCAATGTGCATAAAAAGAGAAACTGTTAGGAAGTTGAAAACGAGACTGGACAGGTTAAAGCTGGAATCTTAGACTGTACCATATTGTCACCATTTGTAGCTTGAGCCAAACCCAAATATTTTGTAAGCCAGGAGGGGGCAGGGAGAGGAAGCACACAAACCAACTGACATGCAAAAATAATTTGTTCCTATACTACTCACTTCCATGTCACAAGACAGCATTAGAATGACACTAAGCAACGGTACAGATATATCCATTCTTGGACAAGTTTTGGACATATTTCCATAACTGTTCATCACTTTGTGAAAGCTAAAAAAATTCCCTCTCCCCATGCCTACCCTTCTCTCCTCACGGTGTAACCACCAAGAACTCTCCTCGCTTACCCTTCACGTCCCCAATTTCACATGCAACAAATTACACATGCAAAAAACTACAGACACAATTGAACTGTCAGGTGTCATAAGCAAGGCATGATAACAAGCTTCTATGAACTCCTGTTTGATAAATCTCAAGAATATTTTTTAAAAATAAACTCCCCAGGCAGGATTTGCACGCCATTCCACATTGTTCCGTTATGGACCATTCACCTCCCGCAGCAGACATTGAAACATTTGGCTGTCTAATCTTGAGTGACTATAAACACATGACTACTCACACTTATAATCCATTTTCACCATATGCAAGCCTTACGTTTTTAGGTCCACAATTCTTCTGTACACTCAGGTAACTGACTTCTGGAAACTTTTCTCTGAAGCCCCTCATTAACCTTGCAATTGCAATTCCTATGCCTATAGTGCTATGCCTAGTTTCGTCTCTCTACATACCCAGAGTCACAGCTTCATATCACAATATACCCATAACATAATATATATTTGCTACAACTACTGGCACACTACAACAGGTATCTTCAACCTTTTCAGACTCAGGACTCACTTTTAACCCTAACATGCATCTGGGGACCCATTCTTAATCTTTCATCACCTATATGCATGGTGGTGGTACTTCTGCTGCACCCCACTTTGGATCAGGTTGTGAAGTGGGTTCCAACCTGCCAATTGATGGCCAACGAGTGTACAGGATCTGGCACAAGGCCATCCTGACCACCACACTATTAATTCCATATACATGCCAGGACCCCAACTACTCCTCCAACATAAAAGAGCACTCGCATCTTTAAGCCAACGTACTGAGCAATGACAAACCTAGAGTGCATCCTAAAAAGCAGAGACATCACCTTGCCAACAAAGGTCCGTGTAGTTAAAGCTATGGTTTCCCAGTAGTGATGTATGGAAGTGAGAGCTGGACCATAAAGAAGGCTGATTGCCGAAGAATTGATGCTTTTGAATTATGGTGCTGGAGGAGACTCTTGAGAGTCCCATGGACTGCAAGAAGATCAAGCCTCTCCATTCTTAAGGAAATCAGCCCTGAGTACTCACTGGAAGGACAGATCCTGAAGCTGAGGCTCTAGTACTTTGGCCACCTTATGAGAAGAGAAGACTCCCTGGAAAAGACCCTGATGTTGGGAAAGATGGAGGGCACAAGGAGACGGGGACGACAGAGAGATGGATGGTTGGACAGTGTTCTCGAAGCTACCAGCACTGTGGGAGGCAGTGGAAGACAGAAGTGCCTGGCGTGCTCTGGTCCATGGGGTCACGAAGAGTCGGACACGACTTAACAACAACTGACTAAACAGCATGCTTCTAATTCAGGACAGTGGCGTAGCGTGGGGGGTGCAGGGGGGGGCCGGCCGCACCGGGCGCAACATCTGGGGTTAGGGCAAATCCACAGGTTAGGGGGCGCAAATCCACGGGTTAGGGGGCGCAAATTACTTGCCTTGCCCCGGGTGCTGACAACCCACGCTACGCCACTGATTCAGGATTCAAAATAAAAGAGCGCAAGCCAGCGTTGCCACCCAGACTCTTTGGGCCCCCAACTCCGCCTTACTCCCTCCCTCCTGTCCCTTCTTCATCATGCTCTGATCATGTTTCTCCGAGTTATGTCGTATCCACGACATGTCCACCACCACTAGCTCAGTGGTAGAGAACATGCTTCGCCTGCAAAGAGTCCCAGGTTCTCAGTGCCGTAGAAAGCCCTCCGTTTTCACACGGCTCAAGGCAGCTGTCAGGTTCCTTATAAAGGCCCCGTTCGAAAATCCCCAACTCGTCACAGCACAGCCGAGTCGGGCGACACACGCGCGGGGGGATCTTTCCATACCCAAGCACCCTCCAAAACCGATGACACGTGTACTGAAAAAATGAAAACAGGAAAGCTGCGGCGAGGGCGGCTGGGGATCCCAAGGGCCAAAAAAAAAAAAAAAACGGGGCAAAAAGTGAGACGTTCGTTCTGGCCCGTCTCCCTCAACCCGCCCTCTCAACCCGCAGCCCTCACACGCGTGTTTTCTTTTCCTCACGTACACCCTCAAGGCTGCTTCGCCTCCACAGACCTTTCCCACCCTCTCTTTTTTTCATCTCTCTCAGGGCTTCCGTCTTTCAGCAGCAGCAGCTTAAGGGTTTCTTCCTGCAAACGTTGCGGTTCTTTTTTCTCTCTCCCCCACCCACGCACCACTTTTTTGTTGTTTTGCGGGCTTCCCCCTCCCCCACCTCAACGGATATCGGGGCGCGCGCGCCTCTTCTGCTCCCCCTCCCTCTTTCCGGTGGCCCCAAAGTTTGGGGAGGGGGACGGACGGGGGCGCGCGCGAGAGAGGACCCCCCCTTCCACCCTCACCCTTGATGACGTTGCTGTAGATGGTGGCGCGGAACTCCTCTCGAGCGGCCCGGTCCCAGTCCTGCCCGTGGATGATGCGCATCTGCTTGAGGAAGGTGCTCTTGCCGCTCTCGCCCGCGCCCAGCAGCAGGATCTTGACGAGCCGCTTGACGTAGGTCTTTTCGCGGTACAGGCACTTGTCGATCTCTTTGGACTTTCGCTGCTGCTCCGCCTCGCTGCTGTTGAGCAGGCAGCCCGGGAAGCAGCCCGACAGCGGGGACCGCGATGGCAGGAAATCCGCCATCTTAGCGAGCACTGCCAGCCAGGGAGCGGCCGCCGCGGCCCTGCGCCGCTCTGCGCCTGCGTAGCTCCCGGGGACGGACAGGCTGCCCCCCCCACCAGCCCACTCCCACGTGACGCGAGGCGCCGCTCCGAGGGCGTCACGTGGCGAGCTGCCCAATCAGGAGCCTCCCTGTCGTCACGCGGCTGACTTCTCGCTTTCCGTCCGTCGACGCTCCCGCCGTCCTCCGTCACGTGGCCGTGTGGTGTACTCCCTACAAAACTCCCCCGCGCGCTTTTTTGTCACGTGATTTCTCTCCTGCGAGGCAGAATCCCCCTCGTATCGGTTGCTCGTATCGGTTTCCTTTCACGGGAGCCGAGGCGCCTAAAGTATAGTGAGAAAAGTGCTCAGACTTAGTGAGAAAAGTGCTCAGAGCATGTGCAGAGTGCGTTTCTCGCCAGGGGCGGACGGGGAGGAGCTGCACTCCCTCCGCCCAAAATCAAATAATTAAATAAAAATACTTCACTAAAAGTAAAAATTGTAGAATTATTTTGACAATTCCCCTCCCCCAACACGGGAAGGGAAGATTGAAACGACTGCTGTTGAGACGTTACATTCCAAATCTACTAAGCAAAGCCAGAGAGAGGCATGGGCGTAGCCAGGATTTATTTTAGGGGGACAGGCTTTATGTTGGGGGGGCAGAACCTAGTTATCTGTGACGCAATTGGTCATTTATTTAAACATTTTTATTTATTTACTTGATTTAGGGGTGCAGCTGACTCCCTGCACCTACTGACTACGCCCATGGACAGTGGATGATGACAGGTGGGTGTCCAGCCCACTCTAACATAAATCCTGGCTATGCCCATGTTTCCTTCTGCCCTCAAATACATATCCGAATCCGATCACTGGAGGATGAAGAAGAAGAAGAAGAGTTTGGATTTGATATCCTGCTTTATCTCAAAGCAGCTAACATTCTGCTTTCCCTTCCTCCCCCACAACAAACACTCTGAGAGGTGAGTGGGGCTGAGAGACTTCAAAGAAGTGTGACTAGCCCAAGGTCACCCAGCAGCTGCATGTGGAGGAGCGGAGACGCGAACCCGGTTCCCCAGATTACGAATCTACCGCTCTTAACCACTACACCACACTGGTTTTCTGGTTCTCGAATGTTGCTTCGAAGCAGGCTGGGGGCATCTTCACCTGTCCTGTTAGAAATTAAGCATTCCAGCACAGAAGAAAGGAGATCTCCCCATCAGTTTGAGCCTACTCTGATTGCATTTGGCTGCAATTCTTCAGTGGGAAACACATGAGACCATTGTTTTCTCCTTAGAGATACAGTTCCCATTAGCCTTAAACTACAGGTCCGAGGATAAAGTAATATTCTTTATATGCGCATTGCTTGTATGCTGGGGATCTGTCCCACTTGTAAGCACTGCTTATCCCAAGGTCTCTAATGTGATTTTATGAAGCAGCCACATCTGGATGCCATAACGGAAGCACATTTCTTTATATATACAATAATAACAATAATAATAATAAATAAGACACAATTAGCAAACACAATTTAAAACATAAACTGTGAGGTAGGGAGGAAAGGAAAGACAGAAAAGCTCAGGCTGTGATAATTACATTATTAACAGTGGCCATTCACAGTTTCATTGAAGACACAGATATGTGTGATAAGAATCCATTGTACCAATTCAGTCCACAAATGATAGTACTGAATTTCTGGATGAACTAAAATTCAGCAGTTTCTGGTTGCAGTCTGCCTTTGAAGTTCCGTTAAATCAGTTATACAGTGTCTTGGAAAATTGCAAAGACACACCTCCAGAGCCTGGACTTGGCATCTTGTATCTGCTATCCAAAATGCACAAACCAAGCAACCCCAAGTGCCCCATAATTTAGGACTTTAGAGCCATCTCAGTTGGGGTATCTGGTTATATAGACTCCATATGCCAGATCAAATTCTATCAGCACTTCCAAGTTATATACTCATTAATATTTTTTGGAGAAAACTAAAATATATTGACAATCTTCCAGAGAATGCCATCATAGTATTATTATTATTATTATTATTATTATTATTATTATTATTATTTCTATTATTTATACCCCGCCCATCTGGCTGGGTTTCTCCAGCCACTCTGAGCAGCTTACAGCATATATAAAAGCATAGTAAAACATCAAGCATTAAAAACTCCCTGATACAGATACATACTGTATCTGATCTGATACATACATGATACATGATGTAACCACATCTGCTCAGATTGTAACAAGAACAACAAAACAACAACAACAGCAACAATCAGAGTTTCCTCTTAGTACAATGTTCCCCTAACAAAGTGAAAAAACAACAGACCAACAAGAACAGATTAATACTTGGGAAGTATTATCTATTATCCAAAAGCAGAGGCAAAACTAGGCTTTATTTCACCCAAGTCAAAGACCCAGTTTGGCACACACCCCATGTGCATTTGCGTACAAACACATATAGGCTGGGAGCCTCAATTGTGCCCCTCTGGAGGCTTTAACTGGAGGGGGGAAAAACCCCTATAACTACAGCACTGCCTAGAAGAGAAAATGACAGGCCACATTTTTTGTCACCTCAGTTCCCAGTTAAAATCCCTCGAGATCATTGATATACAGTCTATCCTGTACAATGGCGCAGGCCTTGGGTGAAATCCTACACCTGCTCACAGGCAATTCCACAAGCTAAAATACTGTAGCTACTAACTAGTAACAACAAGACATGTAGCAGAAATGAACACAGGAATTAGGTCTCATAGCCAGCTCTGACCCTATGTCTACTATAACAAGACCTAGTGTCATCCTCAACACTGGAGGTTCATTCACCTGTACATCTTCCAGTGTGATATATGGCAATACTTGCCAGCAGCGCCTTACTTAAGGCACAAATGTTGAAAAACCAGGGTAAAAACATTTCAAACTCCCAGGGTACCCTACCAGTGACCTAAAGGTGGCCATCCTTGAACCCAAGGAACTTCAAAGGGGGATTGCAAAGTGAAACCTCTCTGATCACAAGACTTCAAGAGACTTCAAGAGGCTCAGTGCTATCATTTGTGTACTGAATGAGCACAATGGATTTTCATCACACTACATGTGTTAATTGGCTTGCTAATGTCAATGTTATTCACACAACTGTTTGCTTATGTGCTAATAGCTGCTGTTAATAATGTAATGTATCCCTGCACCTTTCTGCATTTCATTTCATTTTCTGACCTCACTGTTTACAACTCCCCCCCCCTCCATCACCATGTGTGTATATACCTGCAACTCAGGATAAAAGGGCATGTATCTTATGAAGTATGGACAGTAACAGGGGTTGTTACAATACCCCTGATATGTCAATTGTTGCTATATAGAAAAATGCTCTTGATAATTTTTCCAAAATGCATTTGATAAATGCTGACTTGTGTAGTGCCATAGTTTCTTCTGTTCCTATTGTTTGTGTGTGTTTATGGGAGGTGATTAGGGACGCGGGTGGCGCTGTGGGTAAAACCTCAGCGCCTAGGACTTGCAGATCGCATGGTTGGCGGTTCGAATCCCCGCGGCGGGGTGCGCTCCCGCTGCTCGTTCCCAGCGCCTGCCAACCTAGCAGTTCGAAAGCACCCCCGGGTGCAAGTAGATAAATAGGGACCGCTTACTAGCGGGAAGGTAAACGGCGTTTCCGTGTGTGCTGCGCTGGCTTGCCAGAGCAGCTTTGTCACGCTGGCCACATGACCTGGAAGTGTCTGCGGACAGCGCTGGCTCCCGGCCTCTAGAGTGAGATGAGCGCACAACCCTAGAGTCTGTCAAGACTGGCCCGTACGGGCAGGGGTACCTTTACTTTACCTTTATGGGAGGTGATTAATGGTGTTACCCTACTTTCACGATTGGTTTTCTGCAATGTTACACATGAGTACTCAGAAACAAGCGCATTGAGTTCAATTAGGCTTTCTCCCAGATACATGTGTAGAGAACTTCAACCTCAAGTGCTTGGGGCCATTTTGCCATATTCTCTTGAAATCAAATTCTACTTTATTCTTTTCCATTTACAAATTGTGGCCTATGAAACAACTCAAAGCAAAATGGCAGTTGTGTTTAACACTCATGTGCTGGCTAGGATTCTTAAAGAGCAGCTTTCAGTATGTCCCAGGACTGGGGAATTTCCAGGGATATATGATGATGATGATGATGATGATGATGACGACGATGACGAACAGAAGACCTAATTGCCATATTACAATCTGCCTTTGAAAGGTCCCCTCAATTCAAAAAACGAATTGCCATACGTTATGTGGAGAGCTGTTGTTTTAGAAACACAAACCCAAAGCTAAATTAGGTCTGCGGAACTAGTTGTGGTTGTCTGGAAGCCAGCCAACGTCAATGGTATGAAGGACAAACGTACATTTCCAACAGGAAAAAACAGTAGGCTCACAATAAAGGCACATCTGAAAACTCAGGTTTTGACACTTTCTCTGTTCATTGGAGCACTGATCAAATACTGGTTATTGGGGGGCAAGAACAGCAGGTGGTCATGGGCTGAAGCTTTGACTCCAAGCACCCTCTTGTGTTTAATACGGCAAGGCTGTATGCAAAGGCATTTTCAGTAGCTTCTGCTATCTGGGTTTTCCTCCCCATGGGAGATATGTCCAAGCCTTAGCATCTTTCTGAAGCTTACAACAGCCAAACAGGGAGCATCATCAGGTGAGGTCATGAGCTATGGAGACCCCCTCAGTCCGGATTCTGAATACAGTGGTACCTCGGGTTACATACGCTTCAAGTTACATACGCTTCAGGTTACAGACACCGCTAACCCAGAAATAGTGCTTTGCTTCAGGGTGAGAACAGAAATCGTGCTCCGGCGGCGCAGCAGCAGCAGGAGGCCCCATTAGCTAAAGTGGTGCTTCAGGTTAAGAACAGTTTCAGGTTAAGTACAGACCTCCGGAACAAATTAAGTACTTAACCCGAGGTACCACTGTATTTGTGGCTTGGATCTGGACTACAGCCCGGAGAAGCTCCACATCACTGGAATGTGGAAAATACGCATCCTGTATTTTTCTCAGTGCAACCGGCTGCTTTACAGCTTTATAATGTTACCTGAAGGTGGGGATCTAAATAAATCCAGCGTTTCCAGCTAAGCAGCGTTTGAGATTGAAACAAGTCTGTTTCCCCATATTTTTCAACACCTCAACTCATCCTGAAGATGAAAAAAAAGAGCATCTGTTCCAGTTTTGTTCCTTTGCTGGGACGTGCAACCTGCTAGAAATTTCTAATCTCGTAAACGATTCAGATTAGTTTCCGATCCGAATTCTCCTTCCGTTTCTTATCCCGTTAGTATTGTAAATAGATGAGTGGGCTCCCCCTAATGCTGGCAGCTTGGAAAGACTCCAAAAACACATGCAAATAAGACCTCGGCGCTCCTTGCTGATTGGCTATGGCGGGACAGTGCCCGATTCCACCGCTGCCTTTATTCTCTAGGCTGGGGATTTCGAGTCATGCAGTTTGCCTGAAATCAGTAACAAGAGGACCAGCTTCCCTGCAATTGGTTAGGCCTGTTTGTTTTTTTCTTCCTTCCTTCCTCTTCTTTTTGTAGCTTTCGGCTTGGCTAAGTAGACCACCATGACCATCAGACGCATAGATCAAGGGCAGCGTTACAGGCCAAGAATGGCATTCCTGAAAAAGGTAACTTGCTATTATTTTAAGAGTCTACCTGAGAAATAGATGAACTGGCTAGTGCAGGAACCCTGAACATCTGGGAAACATCTGCCTTCTGGCCAGCATTGTATATCACAAAGAATTTTGCATGCAAACAATAGGCATGTTAGCCGGATAAGGTGTGCTGTTTCTTACAGTTTTCAGAATTAATTATTTTTCAAGGAGCCTATGATTCCATTAGCAGAGTATTTTAAAAAGAACCTTTGTTTGCTGTTTCCCCCAGCCCTTTTGCTACAGAGATAATAAAGACAAATACCCTTGTTTTTGGAAGTCACCAGATGAAAGCAACCTGTTACACACAGTTTGTTTGCGCATGGGAGCATCAGTAGCTGCTTGAAATAAAACTGAGCAGCTATAAGCATTTTGGATATATCATTATTTTTTATATTTAAAAAATAGCTCTTCTTATTTTACCTCATTCGTAAGGCTACAATTTCTTGCATGGAGGGTATTTTTCTTGCTTTGATGGCCATTAATATTTTAATTTTGAGGGATAAAAGCCCATCACCCCCGGGGTTTGCAGCCCTAATTCAGCACTGAACTGTAACCCGGTTAATTTCACGTCCCCCTCCAAGCATTATTCATTGCTGCAGTTCCATCCTAACCCCATATAGACCCAGATGTTATTATACTGCGGTTATTAATCTAGAGTATCTACGACCCCCTGGTGCTGTACTCCCAGCCTTTCACATTGATTTCGAATCCTGTTTATTTAGATAATTTACGACTGCTTAACATTTTTAGGAAAAAAACCCAACAATTCTAAGCAGCTAACAGATTGGTCTACATCACATAATCCATTATCCATTATTTGATTTTGGAGAAGGGAGCCAACCTCATTTGCATTCATTTACCTCACTCATAAACGTGCAGAGGAAAGGATGAGAAAAACCCACCTTTTTTATCAACCTTTTTCAGAAGCAAATGACAGTACGATCCTAAGCATATCTGCTCGGAAGTAAGTCCTATTGAATTCACTGGGACTTACTCCCAGGTAAGTGGGGTTCAGACTGCTGCCTAAGCCATTTATTTGAGTAAATATACTTGACATATTGATGGTGTCTTTCCGCCCCCTCAAAAGACGCTGCAAGCTGTTTTCTCTGCCTGTTCATAATCTACTTTAAAGTGGGTGTATATATGACTTTATAATAGTTTAAGCCTTACAGACAGCATGTTGACAAATAACTATGTTTGGGATTAACTACCTCATTCTTTTCCCCAAAGCATCTATATAAAAGCATTTTATTAGCACCAATATGTGAAAAGAGTTTAAGCAGGCAAGGTATTAGCCCAGCTTTTCTCCCCTGAACGTTCCTGCCTTTCTTGTCTGTGGCTTATCCTGCTGAATAGAATTAGCTGACTTCCCAGTGATATGGACAGCTGCCCATTTCTGGTGTGTGTGTGTGAGATTGTGTGTGCACAGACACTATGGCACAACATAGGAACACATTCACATCTAAGCTGTTTTAGCTGAGTATCAAACACAGGAGGCAGCGACAGGATTACAAGCAAAAAAGAAAAGAGATGAGAGGGAGTGTGAATTTATTTTGTGTCACAATATTTGTCATACATCACCAGCACTTGTACTTTTCATGCTCAAAGCGGGATACCACACTGTTTTCCTTTGGAACTGTTTGTTCCTAGAGCCTGTCAAGATTTATTTAAAAGAGCAATTGGGCCATGTTCTGTTTTGATTTACATGCTTGCAAATTCCACAGAAGGCAAGGAGATCAACTCCGGGAGGAACAAAAGATCAGTTTAGGAATTACATTTTCCTTATATTAAGACAGCTGGCGTAGCTCAGTCGGTAGAACATGAGAGCCCAATGTTGGGCAAAGTATTCCCACATTTCAGGGGGTTGGACTAGATGACCCTTGTGGTCTCTTCCAACTCTATAAATTCCATGATTCCACCAGAATATGCCTGTACTTAAACCAAAACACACACGGAGATTTTTTTATTTTTATTTTGCCACAGATTATAATAAATTATCCTCATATTGTTCGCTTGTCATAAAGCACAAGATGAAACTGGATCCAGTTTATAAAAAATGCCCACAGGTAGTAAAGATGGGATAGTAGTCATCATGTCCGCATATTTGTGTCTTCATCTTGCGTTCCTCTAATATTTAAAAAGAAGTTGCAGGGCTCACCCCTCTCCCTTTTGAGCCTTACTGCAGCAACCTAAGTCCATTGTCTTCCGTTACTTGTTTCTAAAATTTAAAAAGCAATTCCCATTGATGCCTGTGGGAAGCCTTGAGGAAAACGGGGCCTCTTGCGAGATGCTACTGCATACTTCATACCTGAGAATTTGGTCTAAAACTCAAGACACCTGTGGCCACCACTCTGCTGAAGTTAAGCAGGTCTGGGCCTAGTCAGTACCTGGATGGTACTGAGAACCATGCTGCCTTGGGGCCCATAATGCAATGAAGGTTAAATTATACTGCAGTGGTGTTGCTGACCTTTGTCTACTCAGAATAAGCCAGCCTCTTTCAGTTCATTGGGGCTTACTCTCAGGTAAGCGGGCATCAGAAGATTGCAGCTGCAAATGACTGTCCCAAACCAGTCAGTCATGCGTTCCTCTTAAATAGAGAGTCAACAAGGGATGGATTGACAGGATTTGTAGATCGATATCTCAGTAACAATAGAAAGATGCCGAAAGCTCAGTGGGGGAGGCATATTGTGTGAGCCTTATTATATAATACATTATATAGGGCATCTGGCAAACCTGGAACAAGGTGACACAATGTAACATAGGGCTGTTATATGTTCAGAATTTTTTGGACGTAGCCAGGGTTTGTCCTTCGAAAATGGCGTCCAGGCAGAATTTTCTGAAAGTGGTTAAAACGTCTGGGAAAACCTGGGTATATGTTAGCACATATTGGAAGTGTTGATTTTTTTGCGATTTCCCTAAAAAAATAGGTTAAAAATTTCATTTTTTGTTGAGATTTGGGGCGAGGGGGGGGGGAGCTCAACTTCAGCAAAAAACAAACAAACAAGCCTCAACAACTTTAGTGTCCGGATTTTCACTTTTTGAAATACGGCAACCCTATATAACATAAAGATACTGAGAGAGCAGTAAAAGCAGGTAAGGAAAGGCTTGGGACATCTTTTGACACACCAAGCTGAATGTCTGAGAGGTAAAGGACCCCTGGACAGTTAAGTCCAGTCAAAGGTGATTATTGGGCTGTGCGCTTATCATGCTTCCGGCCGAGGGAGCTGGCGTTTGTCCACAAACAGCTTTCCGGGTCATGACTAAACTGCTTCTGGCGCAATGGGACACCATGACGACTGCCAGAGTGCATGGAAATGCCGTTTACCTTCCCGCCGCAGTGGTACCTATTTATCTACTTGCACTGGTGTGCTTTCAAACTGCTAGGTTGGCAGGAGCTGGGACAGAGCAACGGGAGCTCACCCCGTCGCAGGGATTCAAACCGCCGACCTTCCGATCGGCAAGCCCAAGAGGTTCAGTGGTTTAGACCACAGCCCCACCCACATCTGGGAGGTACTAAGGTATGGCAACATTGATGTTTTTGCTGCCTGCCCATGACCACAAGGATAAGACTGTTAAGTATACAGTACCCTTATTCCTTCAGTTAAGTTTTCAGTTAGAAACCTATTTCAAGGCATGCCTGCCATGTTTCCTGCTGCTTCCCCTCAAGTTTCTTATTCAGTGTTTAGCACATCAGTAGATCCAGGGCCTTGTTGGTACTGGCCCATGGTCCTTCACATCAGAGGGCACACACACAGCCTTCCTCACGCACTTGTGCAATATGTTCTTGGGTCCTAGAGCTGCACCAGATAGCTCCACCGCATGCTAGCCTCATCTTCGGGATAGACAGATCTGTTAATTTTGGTTTGTCACACAGCTCAGCGCAAGGATGCCAGCCTAGGAAGTTTGGAGGTTCCTCTGCTCTCTCACATGCAGATTCCACAGTGGAAGCTGAGTCGCACCCTGATACTTTCAACAATTTCCATTAATATGTGTGCTTTCATACAATTTAATTTGTTTAAAGAACCACACTGCAAAATTTGGAGAAGTGTGAATTTCAAAAGATAGCCTTGTTTCGATTTGCTATATTATTTCAGGAAGTGCGAATGAGGTAGGCTTGCATTGAAACACAAACTGAATTGAATTCCTCCCCATTCCCATTCGTTCCTGTTATGCAAACTAGCCCTTCTGGGCATTGGTTGGCCTGCCAGCATGGCTAGCAATTTTTAATATATCGGAACTCTTAATAAGCAGCCACTTTCCTTCTCAGATGAGGGAAAAGGCCTGCTGTGTTCTCATCAGCAAAAGGCATGGTTTGTGGCTGAGTCAGTACAGCAGCACCTAATGAAAGCTTCCTACCCAATCTCCCTTGTTCACTTTGATATATATTATATTTCTTAAATGACAAGAGGGCACTCGGCGGGAAGAGGGAAGTGACAAGCCTCTGGAGTTATTTGCTCATTACAAAAACAGTATGCCCTGCACCATCCGACTGATGTGAGTTTTCTGAACACACTGTTTGCTCTTTACAGAGGCAAGTACATAGGGATGAGGCAGCAGCAGGGATGTGTTTGTGTATGTTAAGAACCTGCGGGCTCAAAACAGCACAGCCTGACAAATTACTTTGGCCAAAGACCTAGAGGGGCTTGGGAGATTCGCTTCGTTTTGAACACAATGAGACTTGCAGCAAGATTCTGATTTTTACTGAAGATTCTACGGAACGTTTCTGACTTCTTCCTATTGTTCAGGGGAATTAAGTTAGGCGAATGCATGAAAATCTGGTCTGCGACACTTGAAGGCTTGGGCGCGTATGTACTTGGCCATTCTTTGAAACCTTGAAAGGACTTGTTCGCATATACATATTATGATTTCTGCAAGAAACATCGGGGTTTCCTGCAGCAAACACAAATGGCGGATAGCATACATGTGTCTGGGATCCATAGATGTATTACTAGTGCTTTTTGATGCAGTTATTTGGGTGTGAATAGATAAGTGTTGAGACGTAACCTCCACATGCCAGGTCCTTGCCACATGCATTCTGGGTTATATTCAAGTGAATGAAAGGTGAACAGGATGGAACCGTCTTCGGTGGCATCAGTAGATATTGGGAATGTCATTGTTCCTTCTTGACTTACCTTTTATATTTGAAAAAAGTACACTATGCTCCAGGCTCTAAGCAATCCATTTTATTCCACTGTGACCAGAGGCTTCTTGATCAAATGGAAGAGATGCGAGCAGCATTACCACTTTCCTGTAACTTCTCCAACTGCAGGACATACTTTTTTATCCCTCCCATAGATAATAAAGTTTTTTAAGGAGAAGGACATATTTCCAAATTATTGTGGGTTTTAGGTCAGTACTTTCAAATCAGGAGACAATTTCTCCAGCCCCATGTGTTGTGCAGGTGTGCAGTCTTCATGTCCAAAAATGAGACGTATTTGCCCCTTTCTCGCAGAGGTTGAATGTTCCTGCAGTTACTCCTGCCCCTGCCTGCATACAACAGCTGCTTTATTTTAATACAGAACAACAAGACGAGGGGCAGAAGTCCTTATCCCATCCTGCATGTGCTTCAACTCTCCACACTGAGCTGGGACAGGCCCTATGATCTCTTATGAATATATTGTCGAGTGCAGAGTTCTTTTACCCCCACCTTTTGTCCTGCATCAGGTTGGAACAACAGGCAGATGCCCTTTCGTTTCCCCCTCCCTTCTGCTAGGAAGAAGGAAAAGGGAAAATACAAATGTGTGACATGTAAGTCATGAGTCACACAGTGGCACCATTTTACAGCTCAGCACACCTTCAGTACCAGCAAGAGGAGCAGATCAGCCTGCCTTGTCTACTGAGTGCTTTGCCAGAACAGGTAGAGCAACATTCTGGCTCCTGCTCTCAGGTGCCCTTGCCTCCTCCTCCTCCCCACCACACTTCCATTTGAATCCCCTTTCTGTTCCTCATACCAGTGGCTGCCGTTTGCTTTCCAGGGACAGCAGACATATGTTAATAGCAAGAGCTCCTGACTGACGCACAGTTCTCCTCCGTAGTCAATGTCAACCGAGGTTGCAGTTGTCTTGGTCCGCACATGCAAGTGGTCAGCTGGTTTGGTGAACGTGAATGTGGCAGTACTCCTTTTCCTCTCCCCCCACTATCTAGCGTAGTAGTCTGTGGGTCATAAGAAAAGAAGAAAGACTTGTTACACCTTAGGCCAAGGGTAGCCGACCGCTCATGTGCTGTTGGACCACAACTCCCATAATCTCAGGACTTTGGCCATACTGAAGGGACTGATGGATGTTGAACAACATTTGTATTGGCTACCCCTGCCTTAAGCTTTCTCCTTTTGCTTTGCCTTTTGCAGCCACCTGGATCATTAATTTCTGCCTGCTTTGTTTATTTGTTTCTTATGATTAGGGATGGGCAGCCACCCACCTGCTTGGCTCCCAAACATGTTGGGTTGCTCAAGTTGAATAGTAAAAATAAAAAAAAACCTCAATAAAGTTTTTAAGTATGATGATGAATCTCAGCCGTGCCTAGCAATGGACTTTGAGGCCGGAATTTCAAAGAAGACTTGAGCAACCCAGTTCTTCCATATTTCCTTCTCTCCTCTTCCATGCTGTTCTCTATCTTCCCCAAGAACATCATAATCCCATTGGGAAATGTGGGGTGGGAATGGGAAGCAGGAGAGCAGGATGAGCTCTGGCAGGTAAGAGTACCTGACTGCTAATGTAATGCATTCCTAGTGAGAAGTATGTGTATTATAAGTACCGTATTTTTCGCTCTATAAGACACACCCGACCATAAGACGCACCTAGTTTTTAGAGGAGGAAAACAAGGAAAAAAATATTGTGAATCTTTTATTTCTGTAGAGCCTCTTTTCAAAAGCTTGATTTTGCAAGTGAACAGTAGAAGCATTTTAACAGGCATTAGTGCTTGGATTTCATTCTCTCACAGAAAGCCCCAGAAAAAAAAGGGACCATCTGGCCATTTGGAGAGACAGAGACACATGGTTTGGGCAGTGATGGAATCCAAGACTGACTGAAGAGGGAAAACAAGAATAATGTTCTCCTGTCTGTTTGTGAAGTTGCTCAGGGGGCTAAACAACAACAACAGCACACAACAACCTCAGAACAACCCAGTGAGGTTAAGGTGGCCCTGTCTGCGCAGCGCCTCTCCAGCGAAGCAGGAGGAGAAACAGAGCCCCTTCAGTTTCTCCTCCCGCTTCGCTGAAGAGGCGCTGCGCAGAGAGGGAGAGCTGTGCAGCACCATTCGCTCCATAAGACGCACACACATTTCCCCTTACTTTTCAGGAGGAAAAAAGTGTGTCCTATGGAGCGAAAAATACGGTAGTAGCTGTCACTGGAATGCTTTGACCACCAAATGCAACAACAAGCATCATGGGACACAAGAAATACTCATTTGGTTTTTCTATAATAGAATAACACCACTGGAGTAGCTATGAAATTGATGGGATATTGGAAGAGAAAGTGAGGCCGACCAAACTTCTTGACTCTCTTGATTTTGTTTTGCATGATTGACACATTCCCCCTGTTTTGCTTAACATGCACCTGCTCCAATTTGCAGCTGGAAGTTCTGTTGGTGGAGATGCAGGACCCAAGTTCTGGCATCAAAACGCATGCTCAGAAGGTCACGGTCGTCGATATCCCGCATGCAATGACTGGTAAGTCTGACAGTAGCAGCTACAAAGTGCAACAGAAACCATTTACCCCCTTTTGTATAAAATAATCCAACAGTCAAAATTACTTTTCTGGTGCTGGGAGGACAGTCACAACAGCAGCACAGTCCTTCAGCCGCAAGGGGAATGCCATCCTGACACCGCGAAAGAAGACAATTTATGATAAGGAATGTTTGTGCTGTCATGGGATCACAAAATTGGGAGCAAAATATCCAACCTACCCCTATGCCTGTAAATTACAGCAGTCCTTCCCTCAGAACACACTGAATCGGAAATAGGCAGGTAGCGGTGGTGCTTTGAAGTTGCGAGCCTGTCATTACTGTCTACTGAGTATGCTACAACAACAATTGTACTCTGGTGCCTGCCAGCTATGTTCACACAAGGCAACCCTGCAAACATACTCTAAGCACCTCCTTGTGGATTGTTATTATTATTATTATTATTTTAAAAAGCAAGCTCCAGAGCATGTTGTAAATACTTTACTACCATTTTGCCCTTGCCGTATGTACCAAACCCTCTTCACTGAAGACAAAGGTGTCCTGGAAGTCAGTTGAAATTAGCAGGTAGAACTGGAAGGGGAAGTTATGGTTCACAGAAGTTCCTTTGTGCCTTTATGAGGCAGAGGCGTACCTAGGCTCCTTTGTGCCCTTGGCAAGGAGCTGTATTTGTGCCTGCCCCCATCCCTTGTGTTTGTCTGCTGAGGCGCCCAGAGGAGATGTTTGCCTCACCTGGTTGCCCAGAGCAGCGGAAGAGTGGCACAGCGAGGACTCGGGTAGATGGGTGGGCGAAATCCTAGCCACTACAAGTCAAGAGTGGAGAGGCATGATTTCTGCGCTCTCCTGGGCCTGTGTTCTTGGCAGGGGTCAACCCTGACCCACCCCTAGGTATGCCCCTGTTATGAGAAGCATCAGTGTGATCTTTCTAATGAAGGAACTAAACTGCAGAGCATCGCCAAGTGCATTGTGGTTGAATTCAGTGGAAAACCAGAACCACGCAAATGTGCTTAAAAGTTCAGTCCAAGGGGTAGATTCACAGAAGAAAATAGAACTTGTTTGTTTCTTTTTAGCTAGGACCACTCGGGTGCTGATTGTATGACGAGTTCCACCATTCCCTGGTAATATTCCAATAAGTTCAGGAGACCAGCTCTTAACCCACAGATTGTTCCTTTCGGCGTTCCAAGGCACTGAGAGAAAGTGCAGCCCCTGCCTGTCCCACACTGTTTCTTTGCCAATCTGATGATTGCTATAGCCAGCAGATTTTAATTTCACTCCACAACAGACAGAGGAGAGGAGTGGGTCATGTGCACCAGCTGCATTCTGTCATTGTGTCTTAGAATATTTAAAGGCATAGGCTCAGTCTCTCAGTGAAGAACCAGCAGCCCTGTAGGAACCTGTTTTAGTGAGTTTGCCAAATTAACATGGACTCACCCAGAACAATTGTTGACTTATTCAAAAGAGTGAGGTTGATTTTTAACTTCGCTACAAGGTGTGTATGGAAAGTTGCCCTGAGGTCGGGGAAAACAGTTCTGTGAAATTTTCCAAGACCACGCTCTGTCTGGCCACAAGCTGAATGCTACATTTGTTAAAACTGGTTTTGATTGGTATTTATATCGACTTTATTGCTGTTTCGTTTGCTTTGTTTCCCCTCCCCAATATTGCTGATAGCAATATTATTGGTGTTGCTATTATTATCACTAGTTGCCTTGAGTGTTATTCGACAAAAGATGGAACAAATTTTTGACTAATGAATAACAAGCACCTGAGAGATTTATGTCAAAAGCCAGGAATGGAGAGATGACTTGAAAAATGTATACCTCTGAGACAAAGCCAGCCTCTTCTTGGTTGATAGTACCACTGAAGTCAACAGAATGACTTAAGAGTGCTGAAACGTACATTGCATCGGTTTGCACTAAGCCAAACCTTGGTTTAGCATGGCATGGGAGTTAAAGAACTGGGGAGAAGCAAAGCAACTGCGAGTTCCTCTCCAAGAGACTGGATATCAGTGCAGTCTTGGTACACCATAGTTTGACTGGCTGTGTCATGTGAATCAGTACACTATTTATTTATTTGTTTGTTTGATATATTTGTATGCTGCCCTGTGGTTAAAAAATCCCAGGGCAGTTTGCATATTAAACAAATAGAATCCAATCCATCTAGGTAGTCAGCATTCACATGAGAATATCAACATTCACCAAACTTTTAACATCTCCTATAACAGTATAAAATCAGTCTCGTCTCTGACTGAGGCAACAGGAAAATGGGATACTTTCTATTTTTAAATCATAGCTGCCTTTCTCTGGATGTTAAACATCTGTACAGTCCTGCTAACACTGCATTTTTATAATTGAAAAGGTTTCTGGGGGTTAGCAGCTGATTGTAAGACTTCCAACAAGTAGGGGTGCAGTTTTCCATGTTTTCCCCAACCTCTGCAGCTCCAGCTCCCGATATCAGCTTCAGAAGGTTGGGGAACTCTCCAGAGCATGTTTACGGTGCATTGTTCGTTTGTTTGGTTTCTGTGTGTGCATGCAGGGTAGAGGGGGGAATAACTGAAAAATTCTTTCTTATTGTTATTAACTAAGTTTCTATGCTGCTCTTCAACCGGGGACCACAGGGTGGTTTGCAAAATAAAGACCCAAAATTGCATACCATAGTAACAAATGAAAACAATACCCCGCAGTTTCAAAGGCCATAGATTGTTTCATTGGCCAATGGCACCTAAGAAGATATGCAGTGAAGGAAACCTTATTACTGCAGTGCGTTGCACAAGGGGCTGCCTTTGAAGATTGTTCAGAAACTGCAGCTAGTGCAGAGTTCGTTGGCCAGATTGTTGATCAGAGGTAGGAGGTCTGAGCATATAGCTCTGTTTAGCATATCTGCACTGGCTGCTGATCAGCTCCCAGACTCAATTTAAAGTGTTGTTTTTGAGCTATAAACCCCTATGAGGATCAGGACCCTAATACCTTAGGATCCAGCCACTCTCTGCATGAATCTACTCAGACCCTGTGTTTGTCATCTGAATCCCTACTTGATGTGCCCCACTGAGGGAGGTCTGGAGGGTGGCAACACAAGAATTGGCGGCTCTCGAATAGTTGAATGTTTGTGTTTCAACGATGCTCCTGGCACTATCATTATCAGGTAAAGATATTCCTGTTCACCCAAGAATTCGGCTTTTAGGGTAAGATTTCCCCCTTTTATGTTATTGCAGGATGAGCATTTTCAGTCAATAATGTTTAGTATCATTTTGATGCATTTTATTTTACGCACTGTACAGTCAAACCTTGGGTTGAAGTAGCTTCGGGTTGAGCGTTTTCGGGTTGCGCTCCGGGGCAACCCAGAAGTAACGGGATGCGTTACTTCCAGGTTTCGCCTCTCGCGCATGCGCAGGCGCTCAAAATGACGTCATGCGCGGAAGCGGCAAATCGCAACCCGCAGACGCTTCCGTTCGTATCCAGAGGTACCACTGTATATGTTTTTTTATCATTATAAGCTGTTTTGAGGTACTTTACGGAGTAAGCGATGAATAAATGCAGCTGAGCAACACCACTGGCTACAACTGCACGAACTTCTCTAAAGAGAAGATCTTAGGCCACAGTCCCGCCTGGAATAAACAGGAATAGCTCCACTCCACTCACATTGTGCCAGGGATGGATGATGTTTCCCCAGCATTCAGAAAATAAGCACCGCCTCTTTAAGGGAAAAGAACAGGTGCAAGCTGGGTTGCCTAGCACAGGTCTGCGTTACAGGCTAATCTTTTAATTTCATCTATTTCAGGAAGCAGATAGTAGGGATAAGAGCTCCTGGCTGCTTGGCAAAAGTCTCAAGTGATCAGCACAATGTCAGGAAAGGTTAACATTTTTTAATCTGCATTGTGGAGGCATTTGGAGATGAAGATTAGGACATGCTCAGGGAGGGAGTGCATTCCTGAAGCCTTGCCCTATTTAAAACTTCTAGTTTTAACCTGTCCTACAGTGCAGAGTACAAAGATAGGTGGTGACTTAATGCCAGATTCATTCATGATATGTATTAAACTCTTCTCCCAACTCCAACTGGTTGATATTATATTTTTTCCTGCATGTATCTATGTATATATACTTTTAATGCCTTTGAAACGAAGCATTCTGTGGCTTATTTATCATTTTCCTCCACACAATCAATTCCCCTACAGCTCACTAAACATATCTCTATTGAAGATGGCAATGTGTCCTTTCGTACTGGTTCCATGCGTCCTTTTATTTTGCTCCCCAAGTTACAAGCTCTGGCCTCTGAAACCTGACATCTCTCTTTGTGTTCCGTTTTAATTTACAAACCTCTAATTGAATTGCACAGTTCCTGGCTAGCTTGCCCTTTCTCTTTCGCGCAGGAAATAATAAGGTTCCCAATGAGTCACCTTGTTGAGAGAACACAATTCCGTTTCCCTTGACGTTGGATTATGATTTAGCCTTTCAGTGGCAAATCTGAATACTCTCCCTCTTTCACGAAAATATGCAGTAAAACATATGCATTGAGAACTGGCAGGAATATGAGCTTTTAGAAAGCAGAGGGATTTAGATCATTAGAGTCATAAAATTAGCTCCTGAAGTGTATTTAAAAAAAACAAAACAAAAACAAACAACAGACCAATTTCCCCCAACCTGGTGCCCTCCAGATGTTTTGGTCTAAAACTCCTGTCAGCCCATTTGCTATGAAGGAGTTGGTGAGAGGATGAGAAGGCAGTAATTTCATCCTCCGGCTTTTAGAAGTTGAACAGGAAGTGCAACATTACAAGAACAGAGCATCTCCTGTCATCCCACCCCTCTCGCCTTGGTTGCTGTATTGCTAAGATTTCCATGCCACCTCTGATGTCTGTAACCAAATGAACCAGAAGAGTTTACTGCCCTGAAACTGCTTTGTTCCAAGATAGCTAACTTTCAACTTCAGATTCTCTGTGTTTGCATTCCCCCCCTCACACCTTAATTTTAGTTCTCCACATTTTCAAGTCAGTTAAAAATGACACAAAGGATTTTGAATGCTCATCAAAGAAAGGGATGTAAACTCAAATATTTATTCATCCTGCATTTTTTTAAACAGAGCTTCATTAAAAAAAGTATGAACAACCAAGCTGTAACTCAGAAACTGTGTTAGAAACTGAAATATGAAAGGTAGGAGCTAAATGGAACCTTAAACCTAGGTTATGGGTGCCGCAATGGAGTGTTTAGGCATGCTTTTTTATAACAAGAATACAAAACTGAAAATGAATCAAGTGCAGCTAAAGTCTTGTGTTCGTTTTTCACATGGTCTAGTCCTCATCTAGAGTGCAAAAAACAAAACCATGCTTCCTGAAATATACTCGAGAGTGGATTTCATGCTCTTTATTCAGCTCATAGTGGTGAGGAGGAATGGAAGTTCCCCCAGAATGTCTGCTTTATATACTTTATTTACACAATGGGCATCACCTGATTGGCTAATTTCGGGATTCACCTGTAGGCCAATCAGGTTGTGGATTCACTTCCATCTGGAGCTGGATTGGGTGGCTCCTTTGGCCAATCAGGCTGCTGCATTCTGAATCCTATTGTTCTAGGACCAATCAGACTGATGCATTTTGGATCCTATTCAACTCAGTACATAACACTTCCCTTGCCCACCCCTTTAATATTCTTATGAGGGTCCCTTCTCCATTCTTCAGAGAGTGGCTGGAAGTGGGGAGGCAGAAAAAGGCCCTCCTTTTCTTCCAGCAGTGGCAGTTTTAACCTGAAATCTTAGGCGCAGTACTGCGCCCAGAAACTGCTGGCATTAATGAAATCCCCTGTCACAAAATGCGCCTGGAACAATGGGAATTTCAAACACTGTGCACATGGTTTCCCAGATTATCCTGGTCCCTGTTGGAAGAGTTGTGAACCACAGCTCACTCCATCAACTCTGCTGTGGCAGGGCAGCTCCATCAGGCCTCCTCTCCCCTCAGCTATCATTTGGGGGATGCCATTCCAGCCGCATCAATGGGGGAAATAGGAAGCACATGTCATTTCATCAGCTTTGCTGAATTCAAAGTTCCACCGAGTACCTCCTTCACAGAACTGTGCCAGCTGGTCATCATAGGAACATCTGGTGTAGGAAATTGGTGGCCAAGCTTTGATTTTGGTTTTTCTTTCTTTCCTTACTGTCCCTTGTGTGTCAAGGTTGTCCGCTTTTCAGTGGGCGGCGTTGCGGGTGGGCATCGGGCCCGCAGTGATCTGGCTGGGGGCGGAGGCCAACGCTATCCGGCCGCTGTCCAATCAGCACTGGCTGCGACAAAACTTAAACCACGGTGGGGCTGTGGGACCGCCTTCTCGCGCCCTTCGCCGGATTTCCCGCCCGCCCGCCCTCTTTTTATGCTTTGCTATGACACCACCTTGCTATGGACAAATGTTTGCCCTTCTGAAACAAATCAATAAGATATCAAATACAAAGAGAAGTGAAAGTGGGACGAGCGTACGTACACGTGGCTACAAGTGACTGTCACTTTTTCAACCCACGTTTGAAACCTATCTGGGGGGAAACCAAGCTGTTACCCATTTCCAGCCTGACAAGTCTCTTGTAGCGGCTGAGGATGGGAGTTGCAGGTCTGGATCTGCATTTTCCTCAGGGGCGGGGGGGGGGGCTTTCTAGACGAGAGGCGGTTCCTGTAAGCAGGTCGCGGAGGTCAGAATGTGAAGTTTTGTTATTCTGATGATTTACACTGTCTGCTCTTGCTTTCCAGGTTCTGATATGCTGCAGTGGCTTATGCAGCGCCTGCAGATTACCGACGAAGGTGAGTTTTGGCGGGAAACACGGGTGGCGTTTAGTCAAGCTTCCTCCCCACCCTTTCCCTCTTCTCTCCCCCCCCCCAAGTACGGTGGTACCTTGGTTCTCAAACGCCGAAAACCTGGAAGTAAATGTTCCGGTTATTGAATGTTTTTTGGAAGCCGAATGTCTGATGGCTATTGTTTCCAGGGCACCTGCACCAATCAGAAGCTGCGCCTTGGTTTTCAAACATTTTGGAAGTCATACTGATTTCCAGAACAGATTAAGTTTGGCGCCTTTGTTTTTGCTATTTATTTTGCGTTTTTGTTTTTGATTCTTTTTCGGTTAATTCGTTTTTGCGACTGTGTGGAACCCAGTTCAGCTACTGATTGATTGATTGATTGATTGATTGATTGTGTGACTGCGGAAATGGATAAAAGCCCCCCCCCATCCAAACAATGACTATCATCAGTGCAGGGGGAAAAATAATTTTAATTTTTATCATCTACAATACTGTCTTATTTATTGAATAGTACAGTACATTGATTATTGCTTTCATTTTATGGATTGATGGTCTCGTTAGATAGTAAAATTCATGTTAAATAGCTGATTGTTTTTGCATGTTTGGCTATGCTCTGTGTGCGCCAGTGAAGGCAGCTGATATCTTTCTTTTTTAGAGGCACTCAATTTGGGAAGTATGATTATCAGGTACGGCTACATCTATCCTCTTCAGGATTCGAAGAATCTGAATCTCAGACCAGACAGCAGCCTCTACAGGTTTCAGGTGAGCAGAGCAGTGAGCCACAAGCAGAAGAAATGGAAGCCTGCTAAGGTCTTTTAGACTTTTCACATAAACCTCATTCACATATCAGGTTAAAACCTTTTTCAACTCAAGGTTCACATTGCTTCATAGACAACTGCACTGGGGCTGCAACCCAGAGGAACCGGGACTCGAGCTGCAGAGGGAACTCTTTACATTTCTACAGTCAGCAGTGCTCCAGCCATGCAAAAAATGGACTCTCCATCCTAGCAAGGCCTTATCCCAGTTCAAAACACTTGAGCCCAAGGGAGGGGTGTGGCCTAGGAAGAAGGGGCGTGGCCTGGGGGAGAGAGAGACTGTTGCATGTGGCCTGGAAGGCCCACTTGGCCTCTGGGCCTGAGGTTCACCACCCTTCCATGAAATCAAGGATAAAATTAACAATGGTTAAATGTGAAAGAGCAGCATGCTAATTCTTGTTGCTGAAATTGTGGGCGCTTTGTTCTTACCCGAAGGGACGTGGGTGGTGCTGTGGGTTAAACCACAGAGCCTAGGACTTGCTGATCAGAAGGTCGGCGGTTCGAATCTCTGTGATGGGGTGAGCTCCCTGCTCCTTCCAACCCAGCAGTTCGAAAGCACGCCAGTGCAAGTAGATAAATAGGTACCACTCCAGCAGGAAGGTAAATGGCATTTCCGTGCACTGCTCTGGTTCACCAGAAGCGGCTTAGTCATGCTGGCCACATGTACGCCGGCTCCCTCGGCCAATAAAGTGAAATGAGCGCCGCAACCCAGAGTCGGCCACGACTGGACCTAATGGTCAGGGGTTCCTTTAGCTTTTACCCAGCTCCAACTGTTGCCACTCTAGGGAGGAAATAAGCCAAAGCAAGGGTGCTAATGGGAATAAAATGGGGGGGCAGGTAAGCCCCACCCCACATAATCAATTACAAAACGCCCACACCATTTGAATGGAATGCCCATCAACTTTGAGGGGTGCCTGCCCTCCCCCAATATTTTATTGGGGGGGGGCAAAGGGACCTCAGCCCATAGGAGTTGGCTCCTGTGAGTCATAGTCTGGCTTGGCATCTTTACTGAACCAGGACTCGTTTTCACCAAACCACGAGTGGTAAGCCAGGAACAAACCTTGGCTTCAGATTGTGGTTCATTTGAAGAGAAACCACAAGCCTGGATTCGGATGTAATGAAAAGCCAGAGTATTACTTGATTCTTCCCTAGTGCTGTAGCACGTGGGATGGGGGTCACAAACAGGGACCTTTCAAGCAACATCCATCTGCATGCTCCTTGTTCATGTTAAGCGATGCTTTTATTTTAATGATGGTTTAATAGGATAGGTGAAGTGGGCCACAGGCGTTAAGACTTCTTTAAAGCCTTTGGCAATTCATTCCTGCATGAGTTCACTCTTAACTCTGAGAAGCTCCTCACAGTCCTTTCAATCTGTGACTTTGCCTTATCTTTCACCTCGGTCCTTCTTTGTCAGCCTTTAGGAAACATTGAAAGATATCCTTATTTGGAAGACTTTTTCAGTGGCTTCATCGTGCTACATTTAGCTTTTTTAAATGTTTTAACTAGATTGTTTTAATGTTAGCAGGTGCGCAGCTCAAATAAACTGCGTAGGGGTGCCGTAGAGGAAGGGCTGCAGCTGTAATTTTACTGTTCATTATTTTTATACTGTGATCTGTGTACATGTCACTTCACAAAGAATAGGTATGACGGGTTTCTCCCCTCAGGGGTTCAGCTACCTAAAAATACACACAAGGAAAATTATTCTCTTCTTTGTTGGGTCCCTTTCCCGGCTGTGCTGCACTCTGAGGGCAGTTTTTGTTAACTCAGCAAGGCCCCAGCACTAAGTTAGCCAAAGGACATCATTTTTATTACAATTTGCTTCAGTGTCCCCCTTTAAATGAATTTATTGCTGATCTCCCTTTCTCCCTCTGGGTCTCCCTTTCTGCACCACTGCAGGCCTCACTCACCTTCTCTTTTAACCCTGCAGCCTTCTGCCTCTGTACCCATCCTTACTTCTTTCACATTTTACCACCAAAAGTTGGCATCCCATAGCACTCTTGTTTTTGCTTTGAAATAATTTTTATTTGATTTTACAAGTGCAAAGTTATAACAATACCAAATATATGTTCATGTTTAGAGATTACTCGCCACCATCCCCTCCCTGGGTCCTATTGTCAACACTTTCAACTGCATAATATTTCATCATCCATATTTTATATCTCTCCATATTGCCCATAGTCTTTGTTACATTACAAGTGTTATTAGAATCCTCCAGTGTTTTCATTTGTTTACAGTGGTCTCCTAAATAAATTATAAATCTTTTTCCATAGCACTCTTCTATTTGCATTGCCACAAGCCTCTCATTTCTGTCACTCATCCAACATGTCTGTTTGTCCACCCCTTTCCCCCTCATTTTCCCTCTCTCCCTTCGCACCATAGTGCTCACCAGGCCCAAGCAGAGCTTGTCTGAGGCCCTGGACAGGAGTCGTTTTACAATAAAGTTATAAACACAAACAAAAAAGCACCCGGTTCCTTGCAGGACCCACTGGCTGGCTTTGGCCTCCTAGGCCCAGAGCAAGTGTACATTTGGGACCCACACCTGTATGGCTCTGATGTGCGGTCTTTTCTCTCTCTCCCCCTATCTTGGTTACTTCCTCTTTCTCCATCTTACTGGGTCCTCAGTTGCTCCCTTTCCCTTCCTCCAGTTCCCGTTTTCCTCTGCTTCTCTTTATTGTTCCCCCACTCCACCCCATCTGTACTTCTCCTCACTGAATTTGTCAGCAACAGTACACAAAAACTCATTTTTAACCCCCTGACAGAACCTGTCAGAGACCGGTTGCCTGGGAAGTTGGCAACAATTCAGGCGAAGAGGAAGCAATTATGTAGTGACACAGCATCCTCCCATTCCCCCCCCCCTCTGTTTCTCTCACATACACACATAGGAAGGGTGTAGAGATGTTGGAAAATTCTGGTGGAAGGAGGAATGGAAATTGTTGATGTTCACTTACCCATCTCATTTCCCGGACAGACGTCAATTCGGCGAATTTGATTTGCATTCACTGTTGTTGTTATTTTCAGTCTGCATCTGTTAGTCTCCAGTGGATAACTCTCTCCAATTGCATTGTGTTTCCTTTGCATTGAAAGGAATGGTGTGGAATAACATGATAATTACGTGATTAATTGTGCAAAATTTCGCTATAGCAGACAGTGTGACCGAATAACATGGTTTTACGAAAGGCTGAAATACGGTGGAATGGAAGCAGCTCTGCATGTGACAAATATGGGTCGGAACGGAAACCAATACCTTCTTACATCCCTAGTTGGGTGGACCTTACCTATTTGGACCAGAAAGTGGGAAGGGGCCATGAACAATCATTTGAAAACCTCACAGTGGTGTTCACATAGGGAGAGAGCTGCAGCTGCAACATCCAGTGAAAGTTACTATTCCAAGTGGTGTTGTTAATATTTGTATAACCACCCTTCATTTGCAGATATCAGGGTGGCTCAGAGCATAAAAACACATGATAAAAACACAAAATACATATAAAAAGCAAGAACAGAAACAAAACAATAGGCCCCACCCACAAAGATTGGGGGCTTGCCTCTCCCTGCCTTTTTTATTTTATCTGATTCTTCTGTTTTCCAGGCCTCATTCAGAATGGATATAAAATAGCTGAGAACATACATTTACAAAAACATGAAAAATATGCAGGGCTGCCAGACACATGCCAGCTGGTAGAATGATTTAGAAGAATTTAGTTAAAGAATCAATTGATAACCTGGGTCTTAGTTTTTGTGTTCTTTCTTACAGACACCGTATTTTTGGCCGACCCAGCAGTGGGCAGCAGATGATACAGACTATGGTAAGCCATAAGATCGGGGAGGCACTCTCTGCCCTTTTAGTGAAATCTTAAAGGTGTAGATCCATAGCTGTTAACTTTTGCCTTTTTTAAAAGGGAAATTCCCTTATTCTGAATAGGATTCCTCGCAAGAAAAGGGAAAAGTTGACAGCTCTGTGTAAATCATGTGCACTTGGAGGAAAAGATGGAGTAAGTGTTTGTATGAACTCCAAAGATGGTGTTTGTAGAAATTAATCAGTTCTGGGAAAGGTCCAGTGGTACCTTGGTTTCCTAACATCTCTGTTGACGAATATTCGGTTTACGTACATCGTAAACCCGGAAGTGACTGCTTTGGTTTTTGAACACACCTCAGAAGTCGAACATGCCACTCGGCTTCCGCTGAGTGCAAGATCCTGAGGCCTAGCTGTCGGCTGTTGAGTCCTTGGTTTTCGAACATTTCAGAACGTGAACGGTCTTCCGGAATGGATTACGTTCGAAACTGAGGTACTTCACTTTGAAGAGGAGGGTACCCACTTAAACTTTCATTTCGACTATCATTTTTAAAAAAATGATTTAGAAAACATTCAGATACAGTGGTACAGTGGTTAAGAACTTAATTCGTTCTGGAGGTCCGTTCTTAACCTGAAACTGTTCTTAATCTGAGGTACCACTTTAGCTAATGGGGCCTCCCGCTGCTGCGCAATTTCTGTTCTCATCCTGAAGCAAAGTTCTTAACCCGAGGTACTATTTCTGGGTTAGGAGAGTCTGTAACCTGAAGCATCTGTAACCCGAGGTACCACTGTATATGATGCGTTGGACCCTTCCTAGGACTGTAGTACTTCAAGGTACGCATGGGATGTTCACATGTTTAAGCACCCCTTCATATGAAGGCAATCCATTCATATTGAAAGCTGGCACCTAGGAGAAAGCTAGGTCAGAATCCATTCTCCCTGACATGCTAGCTAGCCACAGCTAGGGAGTTTTTAACATAGCAGAGCATCTGAATTTACAGCCTTCCACCTGTAGACTGGAGTGTAACAGTACAGGTAAAAGCTGTGTCACTTGATAATTCTGAACATCTTTAATTGCCTTAGGCCTGGTCAGTGGTGTGGTTGCAGGTTCCTGAAACTATAGCCTCATAGACGCTGCTCCATGCGGCAAGTTGCAATGTGAAGCAGTACCTCCGCACAATTCTGGCAGTGCTGAAACTACCAAAAAGAAGGATTGAAATGACATGTTATGCCAATCCACACACAGAAAGCCAAGATGCATTGATTGCATATGCGAATTGGGCCATCTGTTTCTTATACTTTTTAGAGAATGTATGTGAATTTTGTTCCCCACTTTAAGCCTTAAATAAAGAATAAGATTATGTTTTATTAAAGAAATATTCCACAGTCTGATACACCCTTACGTGGGACTAAGTCGACTGAACTTTGGTTTAGCTCAGGGGTAGGCAACCTAAGGCCCAGGGGCCAGATGCGGCCCAATCACCTTCTCAATCCGGCCCACGGACAGTCCGGGAATCAGCCTGTTTTTACATGAGTAGGATGTGTCCTTTTATTTAAAATGCATCTCTGGGTTATTTGTGGGGCCTGCCTGGTGTTTTTACATGAGTAGAATGTGTGCTTTTATTTAAAATGCATCTCTGGATTATTTGTGGGGCATAGGAATTCGCAATTCTTTTTTCAAAATATAGTCTGGACCCCCACATGGTCTGTGGTACGGTGGACCGGCCCACGGCTGAAAAAGGTTGCTGACCCCTGGTTTAGCTATTAGTTTACTCAGAGTAGACCCATTGAAATGTATGGGCATTTCTAACAGAGGTCCGTTCTTTTCAGTTGGTCCATTTTGCATATATCTTGATTGGATGCGGCCCTTACTTTTGCATAAACGTGCTACAGGATTGGACTAAACTTCTCCGGCTTAATTTGGTTTGTGGAATGTGTTATTAGAAATGTGTTAATTTGGCTCCTTAACTTGCCTTCCTCTGTAACTTGCCTTCCTCATTGCCGCATGAATACGTAGCTGAGACACCAGAAATTAGCAAACTGGCTTTAACCAGAGCACAAGGTTAGAAATCACAGCGGGGAAATAAGAACGGAGCAATAAAACACCACACAAAGTCAAACAAACTGACACACACACCCTCAGAACATTTTCTCATGCACGACACCAATTTTATGTTGAAATGAAACAGCCGTTCCTTTTCCAGTCATGTTGGTATTAGCCAAACCTGCAATTGTGCTGCATTTATTACCCTCTACCTGTGTTAATTATATGCTGCTTAAATTGCTAGCTTTTATGGACACACTGCCTAGTTAGGAGAAATAATTTCCATAGTTAGATATTTAGTTCCAAGAGCTTCAATAAGACTTCCGGATAAAAACAAAGAGTGGGAAAGATCCCTTCTTATAGTAAATTCTAGATGTGCATGCCAGGAAAATAGGAGCACTCTCTGCTGAATGAGCTTCTGTAGGAAGTGTGGTCATTTGTACAGTGGTGCCTCGCAAGACGAAATTAATTCGTTCCGCAAGTCTCTTCGTCTTGCGAGTTTTTCGTCTTGCGATGCACGGTTTCCCATAGGAATGCATTGAAAATCAATTAATGCGTTCCTAGGGAAACCGCCTTCAGACCAGGTCCGGGGACAGTCTGTCCCCCGAACTCTTCTGAAGGCTGGGGGGGGGGGACAAGGGCTTTTCTTCCCACCCCCAGCATTTTAAAAAACCCCAGGACAGTGGAGGACTTCTCCGCTGTCCGGGGCAATCTTAAAATGCTGGCGGGCGGCATTTTAAAATCGCCCGGGACAGCGGAGGACTTCTCCGCTGTCCGGGGCGATTTAAAAGCCCCTGGGAAGGCAGGCAGGGGGACAAAGATTTTCGCCCCCCCGCCCGCCTTCAGAAGAAGCGGGCGGGGGGCGAAAGTCTTTGCTTCTCCCCCCCTTCAAAAGCTGTCCTGGACAGGCTTGCGGACCTCTCCGCAAGCAGCGGGAGCGCTCCCGCTGCTTGCGGAGAGTTGCCAGCATGCCGAAGCCTGCGCGCGCTGAGATCAGAGCGCCCAGGCTTCGCGGCCCCGCCGCCCGGCATCGGAGCTTGGTTCCGATGCCGGGCGGCGGGAGAAGGCGTTCCCGCCCGCCGCCCGGCATCGGAGCTTGGTTCCGATGCCGGGCGGCGGGAGGAGGCTTCCCGCCCCCCCCCGCCCGGCATCGGAGCTTGGTTCCGATGCCGGGCGGCGGGAGGAGGCTTCCCGCCCCCCCGCCCCGGCATCGGAGCCTGGTTCCGATGCCGGGCGGCGGGAGGAAGCGTTCCCGCCCCGCCGCCCGGCATCGGAGCTTGGTTCCGATGCCGGGCGGCGGGAGGAAGCGTTCCCGCCCCCCCCGCCCGGCATCGGAGCTTGGTTCCGATGCCGGGCGGCGGGAGGAGGCGTTTCCCGCCCCCCCCGCCCGGCATCGGAGCTTGGTTCCGATGCCGGGCGGCGGGAGGAGGCTTCCCGCCCCCCCCGCCCGGCATCGGAGCTTGGTTCCGATGCCGGGCGGCGGGAGAAGGCGTCCCCGCCCCGCCGCCCGTTCCGATGCCGGCAGCGGGAGGAGGCGTTCCCGCCCCGCCGCCCGGAATCGGAGCTTCGTTCCGAAGCCGGGTGGCGGGAGGAGGTCCGAGGACAGTGGGCAAGACACGCTGCGCTTCCCCACTGTCCCGGAGATTTCCCTATGGGCTTTCGTCTTGCGAAGCAAGCCCATAGGGAAATTCGTTTTGCGAAGCGCCTCCAAAACGGAAAACCCTTTCGTCTAGCGGGTTTTCCGTCTTGCGAGGCGTTCGTCTTGCGGGGTACCACTGTACTTGAATTCAAAGCCATTCAGAACAACATACAGCTGTTCTGATCTTAGTCCTATACACATTAGTCCTATACACATTACGAAAAAAGTTACAATCACAGTGAAGCTTACTAACACCACTTAGAATATTCCCCCCTCCTACATTTGCCCTAAGCTTCCCGCTGCACCAGAGTTGTCACCATAATGCAGATTCCTTTCGCTATCCCTGTGGAAATCACCTATTGTGGAAAACAGCATTGGCTGGAGACACAAGCTTATGTGGATCTTGCGCCATGTGGATTCACCTGGGACAGAATCTTTATTTGGAAAAGATGTAATTATACTTTTCTTTCACTGGGCCTTTTCATTAATTACATGTGTATGTTGTTGTTTTTCATCCCCAGCCATCTACCTAGCCAAGAAAAATATCAAAAGGAAAGGAGTTTTAGAAGAATACGAAAAGGTAAGAAAGTATTATGGCATCTTGTGCAAGCATTTGGCTAAGCATCTAGGGGGTGGAGGTGTCTTGGCGCTGTGGGTTAAACCACAGAGCCTAGGACTTGCCGATCAGAAGGTCGGCGGTTTGAATCCCCGCAACGGGGTGAGCTCCCGTTGCTCGGTCCCTGCTCCTGCCAACCTAGCAGTACGAAAGCACGTCAAAGTGCAAGTAGATAAATACCGTATTTTTCGCCCTATAGGACGCACCGTCCCATAAGGCGCACCTAGTTTTTTTGGGGGGAAATAAAGGGGGGAAATTATTTTTCCCCCAGGCGCGGGGCTGGGGCGGGGGAAGCCCGAGCTTCCCCCGACCCCAGCCCCCAGAACAGGCAACTCTCCGCAAGCCGCGGGAGCCCAGTGCCAGGCTCCCGTGCCTTGCGGAAAGCTGCGGCAAGCCTGGGTGCGCTGAGCTCAGCGCGCGCAGGCTTCAGTGTGCAGGCAACTCTCCGCAAGCCGCGGGAGCCCGGCACTGGGCTCTCGCGCCTTGCGCACAGCTACCCAAAGCCCGGGCACGACTGCTTAGCGCGTCGGGGCTTCGGGGTGCAGGCAGCTCTGCGCAAGCCGGGGGAGCCCGGGGGGAACTCCCACGGGCTCCCAAGGCTTGCGGATAGCTTCCTGAAGCCTGGAGAGGGGTCAGTGTGCACTGACCCCTCTCGCTCTCCAGGCTTTAGCGAAAGCCTGCATTTGCCCCATAGGACGCACACACATTTCCCCTTCATTTTTGGAGGGGAAAAAGTGCGTCCTATAGGGCGAAAAATACGGTAGGTACTGCTCCGGCAGGAAAGTAAATGGCGTTTCCGTGCGCTGCTCTGGTTTGCCAGAAGTGACTTAGTCATGCTGGCCACATGACCCGGAAGCTGTACGCCGACTCCCTCGGCCAATAAAGCGAGATGAGCGCCGCAACCCCAGAGTCGGCCACGACTGGACCTAATGGTCAGGGGCCCCTTTACCTTTACCTTTAATCTTTGCTTTAAGGGCCCCCAACCAAAGTTTGAGGGGCCTCAGTGTGACATCACAGAAGGCTGCACCAATATGTACGATGTCGAGAGATGCCACAGGGATCAGCGCAGCGTGGTGTGAGGTCACATTGGCCTGCACAGTGTCTCCTGGTGCTGCAGGAATCCACGCGGACTAGCGGAAGGTTGCACTAGACTGCGCAGCGTCTGGAGTTGTGTGTGACGACATGTGGCGGCTCCCCCAATCTTGGGGGCAACCTGCGCCTCTGGTAAAGCACACCCATGGCGGTGGAGCATTAAAGCTCAGTAGTGGAACATGTGCTCTGCATGCAGAAGATCACAGTCTCTGACATCGGTCTGGCAGGGCGCCACTGCAGGTTAACTGCAGAAAATACTGGGCTACCTAGGCTGATGATCTGACTTAGAAGAAGGCAACTTCTTGTGTTCCTGTAATTCAGCCATGGACTACCAAGATTAGCAGCAGCCCTGAGCTTTTTGATAGCATGTAGTTCCAGCATCATAAATTCACAACTGTAGTGTTTCCGTCCCCACTTCTCTACTTTCAGATTTTGGTTTTCCCCCTCACCTATTAAACTACATCTATTAAACAGATTTGTCAACTTAAATATACACCACATTGCTACAACTGCAGTGGGCTATGCTAATAAATCTGACTGAGAAATCTCATCAGTCTTACTTGTTCCGTCTTTCATACATGTGGCCGTGTGCTGTAGCACTTTATCATATCCTTCGCGCTGCGAGCGAAAAGGAAGCCTGTGTCTTTCCTTGCTGTCTCACTGCTTCTGTTTTTCCAGGAAAATTATAACACGCTGCACAAAAAAATCAACCACAAATGGGACTTCGTTGTTATGCAGGCCCAGGAACAGTATAGGTGAGACGCTTAACACTCTTTTTTTCTCTCTTTTCAACTTTGTTTTGAGTGATGCAGTGAGCAGTAAGCAACTTTCAAGTTCTCAGTAGCCAAGGAATTATGACACATTCCCATTCTCTCTAAAACAGCTTTCAAAAATTGACACGGACTCCTGCTACATCTGTGAAACTCTGCCTTTGCTTTTGCACCTGCCTGTTACCAAATGAGCTTGCAGTTCTGCTTACAAATAACCACACTGGTGGCAGTTTGTGCTGCCTGCTTGAAAGGTGTAAATACTGCTTTCCGTCAATGCAGTTTCATTTTTCTCTGATAATGAGGGTGCCTGACTTGGAAATCCATTTTCAGAGAACTCTTCTACTGATTCTCAGTAGCAGGTTTTTATTTTTTTTAGAGCTGTTGGCAGTAGCTGCTCTTTTGCACTGGTGGGCTCATTGTGCTGGTTTCAGCTAGTGGAATTGGGGTGGTTGGATCTGGCTCAGGCTGTCGGCGTTTGGGGATGTCCATCGATATCTTTGACCATGTACCTTTCCCGTCCCAACCTGGCCACAGTGATCCATGCGACGGTCACCTCCAGGCTTGACTACTGTAATTCGCTCTATGCGGGGCTGCCTTTGAAACTGTCCCAGACAGAAACTCCAGCAGGTGCAGAATGCTGCAGCGAGGCTCCTCATCGGGTTCCTGCCGTGGGAACATATTCACCCAGTGCTTTACCAGTTGCACTGGCTCCCAGTGGAGTATCGGGTCAGGTTTAAGGTGCTGGTTTTGACCTTTAAAGGCATTTGTGGCTTAGGGCCCTCGTATTTACGGGACCGCCACTCCTGGTATGCCCCGCAGAGGACCTTAAGGTCCATGAATAACCACAGTTTAGAGGTCCCGGGCCCTAAGGAAGTCAGATTATCCTCCACCAGAGCCAGGGTCTTCTCAGTGATGGCTCCCACCTGGTGGAATGCTCTGTCCCATGAGACCAGGGCCCTGCAGGATTTAACTTCCTTCCGCAGGGCCTGTAAGACAGAGCTATTCCGCCTGGCTTTCAATCTGAACTTAGCCTGATTTTTTATTCCCCTTCCTTCCCCCCTCCCCTTTTTATGAAGATTACCCGCTCTGGGATCCCACAGCTACCGTATTTTTCGCACCATAGGGCGCACCGGACCATAGGGCGCACCCAGTTTTTAGGGGGGGAAATAAAGAAAAAAATCTTTTTCCCCCCCAGCCCCAAAGAGCAGCGTACAGGGTGCGCACAACCTCTCCCTGCCGGAGGGGTTGCGCGCAGCTATGCAGCAAGCCAAGTTTTGGCTTCCCCTTTAGCCCCATGCAGCCTCTCCTTGCCGGGAGACGCTGCGCAGGGCTAAAGAAGCCATAGCCCCGTGCAGCCTCTCCTTGCGGGGGGTTGCGCGCAGCTATGGAAGAAGGCAAGGCAGCGAGCGGGATGGATCCCGCTCGCTGTTTTGCCTTCCCCTTTAGCCGTGCGCAGCCTCTCCTTGGGGGGGTTGCGCGCAGCTATGGAAGAAGGCAAGGCAGCGAGCGGGATGGATCCCGCTCGCTGTTTTGCCTTCCCCTTTAGCCGCGCGCAGCGTCTCCTTGGGGGGGTTGCGCGCAGCTATGGAAGAAGGCAAGGCAGCGAGCGGGATGGATCCCGCTCGCTGTTTTGCCTTCCCCTTTAGCCGCGCGCAGCGTCTCCTTGGGGGGGTTGCGCGCAGCTATGGAAGAAGGCAAGGCAGCGAGCGGGATGGATCCCGCTCGCTGTTTTGCCTTCCCCTTTAGCCGCGCGCAGCGTCTCCTTGCGGGGGGTTGCGCGCAGCTATGGAAGAAGGCAAGGCAGCGAGCGGGATGGATCCCGCTCGCTGTTTTGCCTTCCCCTTTAGCCGCGCGCAGCGTCTCCTTGCGGGGGGTTGCGCGCAGCTATGGAAGAAGGCAAGGCAGCGAGCAGGATGGATCCCGCTCGCTGTTTTGCCTTCCCCTTTAGCCGCGCGCAGCGTCTCCTTGCGGAGGGGTTGCGCGCAGCTATGGAAGAAGGCAAGGCAGCGAGCAGGATGGATCCCGCTCGCTGTTTTGCCTTCCCCTTTAGCCGCGCGCAGCCTCCCCTTGCCGGGAGACGCTGCGCAGGGCTTTCCTGGCTTTTCTGGGAGGTGGGGGAATTCCCCCACCTCCCGCAAAACCGGCAGAAGCCGCGCGCACTTTAAAAGGGCTGCACGGCTTCTTCTGGCTTTCCTGGGAGGGGGGGATTCCCTCACCTCTCGCAAAAGCCCGCAGAAGCCGCGCAACTCCTTTAAAGAGATCGCGGCTTCTCCTGGCTTTCCTGGGAGGTGGGAGAAGGGACTGATGCGGCCAGTCAGACCCTTCTCCCTCCTGTGGAAAAGCCCGCAAGAGCGCACGGAGCTTGTGTGCGGCTCTTGGGGGGCTTTTCCCGCCTGCCTCCCCCCCTGCATTCGCTCCATAGGACGCACACACATTTTCCCTTGCTTTTTAGGAGGGAAAAAGTGCGTCCTATGGTGCGAAAAATACGGTAATTCTCCCCTGGTGTCCTCGCTGGCCCAGATAGGACTAATTTAGCCAGCTAGCCCTGGTGATCATCTAATGTTTATTGGATGGATTTTCCTCCTAAATTGATTTTTGAATTCTGAATTTATTGTTATTCATGTTTTATACTGTATTTTATGCTGTTTTTTGTTGCATCAATTAAGTGTTTTAAATTTGTTGTTAGCCGCCCTGAGCCCAGTTTCCTGAACCAGGAAGGGCAGGATATAAATAAAAAAATATTATTTATTTATTTATTTATTATAAGCCAAGAAACCTTAACAAAATGTCTTAAGTGAGTCTACAAAAGCAGAGTTGCTGTGACCTGTGTGGTTGCTGGTTAAATGACCTTTCCTGTGAGATAACTTCAAAGGATGATTGTGCTCACTCTTAGGGAATGTGTCTCATCCTCACATCAAATTGGGTAGTAACCATTGTAACTTTCCCTTTCCCAACAAGCAGGCTCTTCACTGCAGTTCGTCCATTGTCTGCTTGCACAGCATCTGTGGTATTAACTCCTCCTCCCCAGTTTGGTGTCATTTGCAAATTTTATGAGCATCCCCTTAATTCCTTCACCCAATATATAAAAATGTTGAACAGTAATGGGCCAAGAACAGAATGTTGTGACACCCCATTTGTCACTTTTTTCCAGGATGATGAATAACCATTAGTGAGCATTCTTTGGGGCTGGTTGATTAACCAGCTACAAATCCACCTAACAGTTACCTTATCCAGTCCACATTTTACCAGCTTCTCCACAAGAATATCATGGGGGACTTTGTCAAAACCCTTACTGAAATCAAGATACACTATGTCCACAGCATTCCCCTGATCCACCAAGCCTGTCAGAGAGAGAGAAAGAAATTTGTCTGGCATGACTTGTTTTTGAGAAACCACTGCTGCATCCTAGTAATCAAAGCATCCTTTTCTATTGACCTCAATAGTAACCTAGGTCTTCCTTTTCCCCAACTCCAGTCCTCAGGTGCCTCACCAAGAATTCTAAAATGCTGGTTGCGATTTGAGCAGTCTGGTAGATGTGTGGAGCCTTTGGGCCAGGGAACTTTCTGGTCCCTCCTATCATTCCGTGGATAGTTATTTTATTCTATTTATTTAAGTAGCTCACTTTGTACGTGGTTCACCATGGAAAAGTAGCGTCTGTATAAACAACACTGATGGTGATTTTAGGGGGCGGAATTCTACTCTGACTTTTGGTTCAGTTGCTAAAGGGTATAGTCACGAGGACAGGAGAGGAAGGATGGGAGGAAGAGTGCCTGTATCCAAAAAAGAAAATACTCACAGTAAAATCGTAGGCATTGGACCATTCTGGAACATGAGCATTAAGAAATAATTTTGTTTTACACAAAATTCCTGGTCCATGTTATGCTACTTGCCAGGGATGTACAGGTAGTCTTTGACAGGGCAGTGGGCCTATTACGCTTTGATTTGATGAAATGACACTTCCCTCCTGAATTTGCAGGACAGGAAAAGAACGAAAGAAGGAAGATCGATATGCTCTGGACTGTCAGGAGAAAGCCTATTGGCTAGTGCACCGAACAGCTGTAAGTGAAGAATAGACATATCTAGTAAACAATGTGGTTCTGTGATTCTCATTAGAGTAATAATAATAGGATCATATTATTGTAGAGTTTGAAGGGACCCCAAGGGTTATGTGGTACAACTCCCTGCACTATAGTTTTGCACACCCAAATCTGTGAGTACTAAGAGGTCTTGGGGGCTTTGGCTTAACGTTTCCTTAGAATGAAGGTCACGGGAAGCTGTGGTTTCTTTCTGCTGTATGGTTTTATTTCAACGTATATGGAAACGGAGCATATGAAAGAGGTTCACAGCATGAACACCCTTATATTTTATGACACACCTTATTTCTGTAATTGTGAGTTGTTTGGAACAGTTTTAATATTGTGTTTTAACTGTTGCAACCCACCTAGGACCTTGGATCGAAAGGTGGACGACAAAATTGTATTAGTAGTAATACAGTCATACCTTGAGTTAAATATGCTTCAGGCTGAGTGCTTTCGGGTTGCGCTCCGCGGCGAGATGGAAGTAACAGAACGTGTTACTTCTGGGTTTCGCAGCTCGCGCATGCACAGACGGTCAAAATGACGTCACACACATGCGTGGAAGCGATGAATTGCAACCCGCACATGCGCAGATGCAGGTTACGTTCGCTTCAGGATGCGAACGGGGATCCGGAACAGATCCCGTTCGTATCCAGAGGTACCACTGTACAAATCTTGTGCCGTTATTAAGTTTTTGGTGGTTCCACCCCAAAACCGTGGCTTTGGATTCAGTAGAGGTGTCACGTCAAGTCAAGTTCAAGATGAGACTGACTATTCTTCCACATTTTCCTTCTGCTGCGGCCCACTTTTAACTCACCTGACGGAAGCCTCTGTAGCTAGTAGCTTCTTTGGCAACCAGTTGCCTGTACTCTTTAGACATGCAAGGAGACAGAATTGACAAGAGCCGTCAACTTAACAAAGAGACTGGTTTGTCCACTTTGGCATTATCTTTTTTCTACAGAATCTCACCTCACAGTTTTAACTCTTGCAATAGGTAGTTTGGAATCACTGCAAGGGAGAAGGGAGGGATGGCTCTTCTGGCAGAGAGATAAGGACGCCCAGATATCCTGCTTCCTGCAGGTGGGGGAAGTGAGGCACAAGCTTGCACAGGAAGCAGCTGGGGTTTAAGCTGCTGTCTTCTGAGAACTGTGCATGCTGCATACATCTGTGTCGGGTGCATTTTGTTCCTTGATGTCAGCTCCTGCAGCTTGACCTCAGTAATTGCAAAGGGGTTGCAATCACACTCCCACCCACCAAACGCAGCAGGAAGAATGGAGGCAAACCTGATACAGTGGTACCTCAGGTTACATACACTTCAGGTTACATACGCTTCAGGTTACAGACTCTGCTAACCCAGAAAAAGTACGTCAGGTTAAGAACTTTGCTTCAGGATGAGAACAGAAATTGTGCTCCGGCGGCGCGGCGGCAGCAGGAGGCCCCATTAGCTAAAGTGGTGCTTCAGGTTAAGAACAGTTTCAGATTAAGTACGGACCCGGAACAAATTAAGTACTTAACTCGAGGTACCACTGTACACAAACGCACGGCACCTCTGCCTCCTCTCATGGCCTGATCTATGCGCATTGATCTTTCCATGCCCACGAGCGCTTTTTGGCGAATCTTCCATGCTGGGGAAAGACTCCAAGCTGTGGAGCGCAGCACCGAGTTTCTGTTATTTTGGAGGCACTTCTGGCAGATGCCAGTGGGGTGTTTTCCTGAGCAGTGCCGCACTGATCACAGCATGCTGCATGGCTCTGACACATGCCAAAGAGCTACATTCCCTAATCCCAAGTCATAATCAAAGATCCACTTTTAATTGTGCACACGGTGTAAGCGGCCAACTGAGAGCCCAGCGGTTAACAGACAGAGAAGGTATAAGCCTCCGGCAAATGTCAGGCCGTAATTGGAGCTTAGCTTGCAGGGGGGCGGGGAAATACCATCTGTAGAAAATGCCCCTGTGCCACAGCAGCCCCTTTGGTCCTAGTTCATCTTCCCTGCTGAATCCCTTTTGATCACACCAGAGCTGAATTTGGATCTTTCTCTTTCTTGAGCTGTTTCCCCTCTTTTCGCCCTTTTAAGATAGCGCTGGCTGGAGTTTAATTATTGATGGCCAAACTTCAGCAGACGTCAGATAGCTGATCAAAAACAAAGCTGTGCTCCAAGCAGATGTGACAGCGGTACCAGTCTGTTTGCCATGTCAAGGCACCCCCTTCCCTCACTGGGCAGGGTTTTCTCTGCATCGTCCCAAGTTCCCATGCCAATAATTTTATTTTATTTATTGCTGAAAACACGCTTAAAAACATACAGAAGGTGCTGTTATCGTTCGGTTTGTCAGGTGCGATGAAAGACGAGACTCGCGTGCTTTTAAGAGACCTGATGAAAAGGAAAATTTGTCCAGTGGTGCTTTTCTCAACTGTTCATTACCGTGGCCATTGCTAGAATAAGCCCGCTCACCGTTTCGCGTGCGGCGGCATTGCGGGACGGAGGAGGATTCACTGGGGCCCCTATGGAGGAATTCAACCTGGCTGGGCTCTTCCTCATGGGTGGAGGGGGCATAAGCCTATCAGGAACCAGATCCTATGCCTGCACCCAGTGGTGGAGCTTCATGCTCCCCTTGGACCCGCCCCTCGCTCATTTAAGCAGCCAGCACCCTGGGCTCAGCTGGTTTCTTCCTGCGCCGGGTTTTCTCACCAGTCTCTTTGGTTTCTCATTATACGGGTTGGGGGTATGGGAAGTCCGATGCCTGGTCCTGCAAGAACATCAGACGACTTGAAGACTCGGCCACCTGGGATACTGAGCCCATAGCAAGTGCATCAATGCCTGTGGGTACTGCCAGGATGCCAGGTCTCTGAGACCTGCCTAGTGGTGCTGGGTGCTAATGCTGAACTCAGCCATGGCTGTGCATAGTCTGTGCCAGCCTTCACCATTCTGGTGCCCTCAGGTGTTTAGGACTAAAACTCCCATTAGGGCCAACTAGCATGACTGTGCTGATGAGGGCTGATGGGAGTTGAAGTCCAAAACATCTGGCAAAAGGCTGGCAAAGGTTGCTCTGCACTGGAAACGAAACAGTGTTTTCCACCAAGAATTCTGTGCTCTGTGGGAATTTGCAAAATGGAACAAATTTGCATCTGTTTTCCCATAGCTGCTTATTTCTATGTATTGAATTAGCAGTTGCAGAATACTGAATTTTGTCTGCTTCTCTTAACCCTAGGAATAGCCCAGGGATTACTCAGGCAGAATTGTAGAGAACACACAACGCTAGCTGTGGCATATTAATTAATATTTCTGCAGCAGGCACAACTAGAATAAAGGTCTTTTGTAATTTAGGCTTCTCTGGTGGACAAGCTGGTAGAGTTGGAGAAGTATTAGGAAAGTAAAAAAATTGGAGACCTTTTTGTTGGGGATAGTTTTGATGGAAATTCCCAGGTGTCAAAAAATGTTATTTATGTATGCCACTACTATGGCCCGTGTTTTGTTAGCCCAAAAATGGAAAATGAGTGAGGTCCCAACTAATGGCAACTTAAGCTGATGGAACATGCACAGCTTGCAGACTTAACATATAGAATAAGAGAACAAGAAGAACATGCATTTAGAGAAGATTGGAAAATGATTATTGAATATACGGGGGGAAATTGTGTACACTTGAAAACATTGTCAGCAGTAAGATAAATTCAACAGTGTAAATAAGTTTTGATGGATGTAATAATGGAATAATGAATTGTTTAGTTTATGTAAAATATGCAGGGATTTATGATATGCAAAATGAACTATGGAAAGAGAAGAAGGGAAGTCACTGATATTTTAAGGATGTTTAAATGAGTATTCTAAATTGTAAAACAGAATATATATATAAATTTTGGAACAATTTTTGACATCTATCTATCTATCTATCTATCTATCTATCTATGGAGGTCAAAAATTGTTCCAAAATTTATTTGTCTTACCACTGGCAGATAAATAATTGATTCAATCTTACTTGTTATTATAAACAATATTTTTAAAAAACAACACAAATATGTAATTGTATGTTTTGTTGTTTTTTGACTGTAATAGCCAGGGATGCAGGACACACTTGACTATGGCTTAGATCGAGTAACTGATCCCTGTGAAAATACGGTAAACTAGGTAAGTTTGCATTCCTTAGTAGCACTCTGATTGTATTTTTGAATGGTGACAAAGCTTTCTATATCTGCATTGTAAGGACATAAGCAAGACCCAACAAAGTCAAGATTGGGACTACTGAATGTCCGACAGCTGGGGGTGAAGTCAAATTTCAGCAAGCAAAACAGGTGTAGGGGAAAAGTTAAACCCCTCCCTTCCACCAGTGCCCTGGTCCTGAACTGAACTGCATCCCTCCCACAGCCAAAATACAACTGTACCTCGGGTTACGAACACCCTCAGGTTACAAACTCCGCTAACCCGAAGTAGTACCTTACACGGCGGCAGCGGTGGTACCTCAGGTTAAGAATGGTTTCAGGTTAAGAACAGTCCTCTGGAACAAATTAAGTTTGTAACCTGAGGTACCACTGTATAAAGAGGTATGGGATGTGATTATGGATCTCTGCCATCTTACTTGACCTTCTGCCATCTTACTTGCAGCTGGCATTTAATTAGTTTTCACGTGGAAGGATTTTTATTTAAAAACGTCACGGGCACCTCATGGAAAAGGGGTCCTAGCCTACCTTCTCATATTAGGGTTCTGCGTTGGAGTGGGGTTATTTGTGGGGGATATTCAGCCATGCAATAATTCATAGGGAAGAGAAGTTGTGGCAGCAATAGTTTGAAGAGACAGAAGTTCTATGAGTTGTGACCTTGAAGTGGTGCTCATCTTGCTTTATTGGCCGAGAGACAATAAAGTACAGCTTTGGCAGGAGCAGGGACCGAGCAACGGGTGCTCACCCCATCGTGGGGATTTGAACCGCCGACCTTCTGATCGGCAAATCCTAAGCTCTGTGGTTTAACCCACAGCGCCACCCGCGTCCCTTCATGAATAGGATACTGTAGCTTAATTTTATGTAGGGCAGGCCGAGAGCAGCGGTTGAGCAAGCCACCTGGGGTGGCGCGCATGCCTTGCGCCCGGGGCAGGACCAGCCGTCCACGGGAGTGGGGCCGGACCAGCTGGGACAGGACGCCCTGTGGGGCCTCCAAGGAGTTTGCCTGCTTCCTCCCACTCAGCGGGCAGACTGTTTGGGGCAGCGTGGAGCCTGCGGGCACCCAAGCCACCGTGTCACTCCCAGGAGAGACGCATGGCTCAGGCCCCGTAGTGATTGCCGCCCGGCATTTTGCCACCCCCCCCTCAGTGGTGACACCCAGGGCGACCCATCCCCACCACACCCCTTTCCTCTGCCCCTGGCTGAGAGTACATTCTGTAGCCATGTTAACTTAGCTTCTTGCGGAGAATGAAGGGAATAGGGGAGACCGCAAACCAGGCAGTTGAAGTTATCTGTTATTTATGGGCCTGCAGCTGAAGGTGAGGTTTGTATGCTGCTTGTCCGAACCCTCTTTATAGCAATTGTTTTCATCAAACCCTGTGCAGTACTAATAAAACTTTCCATTTGCGTGAGGACTCTCAGCTGCAAATAATTGCGGTGGCCAAGTGGGCTTGGTTGCCATGGAGACTGAAGAGGAGAGCTAAATGCTGAGGCTGAGGATTTACCTCTTACCGTTAAGAGGAGGTGGCTGGCATGTCTTTTTTGAAAGGAGAACAGGAGTCTATGTCAGCCGGTAGGGGATCAAATATAGACTTCAGGAGGAGGTTATCATGCCAAGCTATGTCATATTGTGCTCGTATTTACAGAGTCCTACAGAGAGGGAAGAGTTTGGGGTTGTTTTTTTAATGCTGCAGAATGCTACTCTCCCCGGACCCGTTTACACATGCAAGCCTCAACACTTTCAGAACTGGCTGCTTTCCATCTTTTCCCCAATCCTGACTAATAAGGCTTCTGTCTTTTTAAAATATTATCCCTCTCTGCGATGTAGTTGAATGCTCCATTTTTCTCGAGACTCAGAAGCGCCTCTTCTGTTGGGGAGAGGTGCAGATTGCACTGAGGTACTGGACGGGAGAGGCATTTCATAGTGTACTCATCAATGCTTCTTCACAATGAGCGGAAGCTGTGGGAGCAGCAGGTTGTAAAGAGACAGACTTAGACGCAGAAAATCTGAGAGGCAGGAGCTGTGCGGGGAAGACGAGCTGGTTCCTCCCCTTCCTGGTGAGCAGAGCGGATGAGAGTACCTAGGACAAAATAGAGTCCCCGTCCTCCACAGCAATAGCAGACACCTAAATGCCGGTGAAATGCAGCCCCTTAGTAATTGACAGACAAGCACAGGAGTGTATATTCATGGGACGTGTATATTAATTCATGGGACGTGTAGATATTAATTCCTGTAGATATTAATTCATGGGACGTGGCAGGCGCTGTGGGTTAAACCACAGAGCCTAGGACTTGCCGATCAGAAGGTCGGCGGCTCAAATCCCTGCGACGGGGTGAGCTCCCATTGCTCGGTCCCAGCTCCTGCCAACCGAGCAGTTCAAAAGCACGTCAAAGTGCAAGTAGATAAATAGGTACTGCTCCAGCAGGAAGGTAAACGGCGTTTCCGTGGGCTGCTCTGGTTTGCCAGAAGCGGCTTAGTCATGCTGGTCACATGACCCGGAAGCTGTACGCCGGCTCCCTTGGCCAATAAAGCGAGATGAGCGCCGCAACCCCAGAGTCGGTCACGACTGGACCTAATGGTCAGGGGTCCCTTTACCTTTACCTTTAGATATTAATTGGTCACCAGCTCCTGTCAGCCATAGCCAATGATAAGGCCAACGATAAGGGATGATGGGAAGTGGAGTCTAACAATATCTGCAGGACCACAGTGCTGGGCTGGTAGGAAGAACGATGCCTGGGTTCTTCTATAACAGATGCACTTTCAGGGTGACGGCATCTGGAGAACGCACACAACAGTTTGGGCTAGGAATGCACATCTGGAAAGGCCCACTGCAGGGAAAGATAGTTTGGAAACGTGGAACGCGTTGATGCTGTTTGGCCTCGTTTCCCTTAAATAAGCATCCCGTGAAAATACAGATATAATATGAACTCTCATGACAACTAGTATCAAATAGAGAAGTGAAAGCCTGATTGAAGGCGATAGAGGTTTGTTTGTTTGTTTGTTTAACACAAAAAGCGGCGGGAAGTTTATGAGCCCGGTAGAGTGGGGGAGTGATGGCAGGAGTGGAATCATATAAGTATCGTTGGGCTACATCTATCTCCCTGCAAAGGAGAATTCTTTTGTGACTGGTTCACCAAAGGAACCACCCCTTTCCATATGATGAGTTTATGGTCTAAATTTGAAACATGGAGGTTGTTTTTATAGATTTATGTATTTTGTGTTCTTTGTGTTTTATGTGCAGCTATATTTTGTGCTTGGAGTATTCTATAGCCTGCTTCACACTTCACGGCAAACCATACTTTGAAACAAACTATGGTTTAATGTGATTGAGCAGTGTGCTGAAAAATTCTGCCCCTGCCCCCCTGCCCCCTGCCCCACTCCTGCTGCTGTCACACTGCCAGGAAACAAGCAAGAGTCTGGCTTGTCATGAAATCTGAAACCAGGCTCATGGTTTGTTTCTCTTTAAAACCAGTGTTTCTCAAACTTGGGTCCCTAGCTGTCATTGGACGACAACTCCCACCATCCCTGTCCACTGGTCCTGCTAGCTAGGGATGATGGGAGTTGTAGTCCAGCAACTGCTGGAGACCCAAGTTTGAGAAAAACAGTTCTAAACAAACTACAAGTGGTAACCAGGGTTTGTTCTTGGCTTATTACTCAGGGTTTATTTTGGACGAAACAGCCCAAATAATAACATGCCAGACTCTGACTTCTTCCCTGGTGCTATGTTTTGTGATTAGCGCAAATCTCTTTGAAGTCCATACTGGGTAAACTGCATTTTTACATTTTTTAACTAGCTAATAGAGCGCAACAGGAACACTTTGTATGGAGTCCCTTTGTCCAGGCCCTTTGTGCTTTGTTGTTGATCAATGTCAATGTCAAACGAGAAGATTATGTTAAATCTGGAGAGACACTTTCATGAGCTGCTGTATCGATGGGGGGAAATGCAGCAAATAGCTTCTGTAAGACAGTTCAATGCATTGTGAGTTTTGTTACTGTTTTAGTGAATTCTAGGATTTGTTCAGTTGAGTCCATGACCAATAGAATATAGGGGTGACAACCCTGAACTAAAAGCTCGTTGCATTTAGAGAAATTATAAATAGAGAATGAATGAATAGTAAATAACAAAGCGATGACTAAAATGGAAGGGGGAAATAGCATGGATGATACTATTCACGTTGGAATAGCAAATATGATAACCATTTAATTAAGAGCTTTGTTGCTTTCTGAAATAGTTAATTAACGATTTCCCCCCTGTCTTTCTTTTCTCTTTCTTTCCAGTTTATTTTTTCTGGGATGTGTGCATGACCTTCCTGTCTGTGAAGTCCTGGGTTGATTGTTCCGTAGAAGACTAAAGCTCTATAACCTCCATATGAGTCACATTCTGTTATTTCACCTCTGTTCCCCTTATACAACTGTACTGTGTACCTAAGAAACGTCATCCTTCAAAATGAAGATTAATGGGAATGAGGGGCGGATCTAATTTAAATTAGCAACTTTTTTATCTTTTAATGCAAAACCTTTGCTTTCTGTGGATTAGCCACACAATTCAATTAATGTTTCCTGGGAACTCTGATGGGATTTGAGTGTAACTTTGGACTCTTCTAATGGGATGATGAACTGCCTAAACATGCAAAAAGGTTTCCATTTTAGAGTCACACACCAGGTGAAGTCTGTGGGTGCATTTTTAATTCCCCCCCCCGAATATCAGTTAATAGCTGCCATTCACTCCAAAGGGGGAAATCAATGTGCTTCATTTGGGGGCAGTTCTGCCCATCACCCCTGACACAGTTGCCCAGCCTCAAGGACTCCATTGGGGAAGCCTTGGGGAAGCTACATTGACAGGCAAGCCATCTGCTGAACTTGGCACTCAGTTTGAGCACATGTATTTATGTGACTTTCAGATCAACAACCACAGGGATAGATTTCCTCACTGCATTGTGCACTTGAATCACATGTAAAGTCAAATGCGCAATTGTAGCTTGTGAAGAAGTCCTCATACAGTTGTAAGTTTTGATACAGTTCATTATTGTCTCCTGACTGTCAGACTTTTTAAATGTTCACAGCATAGTTTCAGAAGTCAGTAGCATGAAGCAACATCTACTGGTATTCCCTATGCTGTAGCGTTGCAGCTGGCAGAAAGCCCTGGTTCATCCTAAGAAACTAAGGGTGTTGATAGATGAGACATTGGCAGGACCTGCAAGCTGTCGTTTCCTAAAAGTTTTAACAGCCACAATTGGCCCTGGCATCACTTGGGACTGCAGTGCTGGGAAAAGCAGGTTAACCTTCCCCAAAAACGCTGTTTTCCTGTTGAAAATTGCACCTGTCTCTGAACATAGGGACAAAATGTGCAGGTATTATATAGACACTATGTGGCTCTTCTGGTGTCATGTCATATTGACCTGGTTTGGACAGTCAACTCATGGTTAAATAAGCCAGGATATGCATGAGCTCTGCACATCTTCACATAGCTTCTTTGCTTCCGCTCCACTCTTTCTGTCGCGAGATCAGCTAAGCAAACCAAGAAGCTGAAGTTAGCTATAGCTTCCTGCTAGATCTGAACCAGCAAACCATAGCTAATGGCTTCTTGTTGAGCCAGGAAATTAAGTAATGGTTTAAAGCTGGCTTTCAAATCCAGATGTGCTTGGAAGCCATTCTCTACAGCAGTGTTCCCCAACCTTGGGCCTCCAGCTGTTTTTGGACTACAACTCCCATCATCCCTCGCTAGCAAGACCAGTGGTCAAGGATGATGGGAATTGTAGTCCAAAAACAGCTGGAGGTCCAAGGTTGGGGAACACTGCTCTACAGTGCCTGGTTTGGACATCATGGGAGGCTGTGATTAATCACAGGGAAGGTTCTACATGCAAGGTGCCCATAGCTTCATGCATGCCCAGTGATTGTCTAAAAGCAGCTATTGTGTCAATTAATTCTTGCATGCTTTTATTTGGTAAGCGCTGTCCCTTTACGTATTGGACTAAGGGCCTAGCTACATGTTACACACTAGTGTGTATGGCAGTAGTTCAGTCCTGCTCTTTAAAAAGCAAAGCCACTTGAAGGGGTGGGGAGCACGGGTGCTAAAACCCCTCCCTTCTAGCTGTTTTCTGGGAAAACCATCTTCCATGAAATGCAAATATCCATTTGGAATCCAGGGGTGGGGGTGGGGTAGAAGTTGGGGAGTTTTGAGTAGAAATCTGGCTGACAAATCCCTCGCCCTCCTCAAATGGCTTTCCAAGAAATAAAGAAAGAGAATGGGCGCCCACATCCTATTGCATGCATTTGCATATTATAATTAGTTAGCCCCTTACACAGGGCAGGTTTGCAAGGCATGAGCTGAGTGCGTACTTGGGTGTCATAGAAGGAAAAGGGCCTCCACAAAACTTGGAGGCTTTCCTGACAGCCCTCGCTTGGCGTGCCTCTCCTCTGTTTCCATCTGCTTATTCCAAACAAAGTCACGGCATGATACTTCAAAGGGAGCTGCAGGAACAAACAGCCTGCAGTTAATTTCTAGCTTTCAGTTGCTTGCTGGCTGGTGGATGACACATAACATCATCTGAGCTATTTAAATAGCAGCATAAGCGCAGCAGATATTGTTTCTGAGGCTTTTAATTGCTATGTTTATGTTTTGCAATATGTCAGTTCCTGTCGCCTTTAACTAATACTGAATGATCTAATCCCTGTCTCCTAAATGAATCTGTATTAGCTCCATTAGAATAACCCTGTAATTAAATGCACACACATATATGGGCTGAGAGGGGAACAGGCAACACTATCTGCAAAGTTAGGCTTTACAAAATCGTACAGCTCTTCACATCAATGTTCTCTTTGTTAAATAGGCTCAGTAGATGCTAGTCTGAATTTAGCACTAATTGTTAAAGTGAGTTGGGTAGAGAGCAATGCACTATTTGTTCAGATACAGCTTTTTTGAACACCCAGTCAATTATTATTATTATTATTGTTGTTGTTTGTTGTTGTTGTTATTATTTTGCTACCGTGTTCCTTTCTTTTACAGAAAAAAACCATGGATGTTTACAGGAGAGAGGTAATTTCTTTCCCACATATTAATCAGTGATTGTTGTTGCTGTTAATAACGAGTAATAATACAGTCCTGGTAAAAGCCTCATTTTCCTTGAAACCTTATTCACAAGCCTTCAACTAAGTTTTACTCAAAGTAGACCCATTAAAATGAATGCTGGCAAGAGTTTTCCACTTCTCACAGCATGCTGTGGCAGGGGGTGGTGGGTGGGGGAGAGAGAAGACTGTGGCAGAAAGAGAGATGACAAGAAAACAAGATGGCAGAATGAGAGGAGGGCTGGCCACACCCACTTTTGACCCCTGGTCCCCATCTGCCATTGGGCTTTGGTCCCATTCAAGGCCAGCATGCAGCCTCCAGCAAATCAACTCCAAGGGAATATTGTCCTTAACGATCCCTTTACAGCCAGCCAGATAAGGATTCTTGGGGAGTTAAAATCTGCCTTTTCTATCTCTTGTGTCATTGGCTTGGCAGCAGCTCCCCCCCCCCAACAGTATTTCATGATACCTTGGTGCAGAAGATCTAAAATCCTCCCCCTGCCATGGTGAAATATATAAAATTCCAAATTATTTAATCGTTGGTGAAGGTTTGGTAACCCCTCAGTCCACACATGCTGTTTAATTGCAGGGACAGCTCTTTGCCCTCGCTCCCCGCCTCCCCAGCTACCAATGCTCAGCCCAAATTACCAACTTGAGACCACATGTAGCGCATTTGCACTTACATGTCAATTAATGTACAACCCTCACAGTTCACCCACCCATGCACAAGTGTGTGTGTTTGTGACTTCATCCCATGTTGGTCCCCTTGACTAGCCACGCCTCACATTGTTGCAGATGGAGGTGACTGTAGGAATAGCCCAGACTGGACTCTTTGCATAGCAGGGGATGCGTGGATGGAAGAAGAGCTCTGCTCTGGACCAGCGCTGGATCATCTAGTCCAGCGGTTTGCTCTCAAAATGGCCGACCAGATGCCTAAGGGAAGCCTCCAAGCAGGACTTTAAAAAACACACACTATTTAACCATTTTTTCGATACAAACATCAACCACAAAAGACACATACAACAATTCAGATTTGAATACACTGATATACCTATGACTACACCTTTTTAAACAATATTTCCCCACCTCTCTCTCCTCCCCCTACTTCCCACCAATATCCGCCTTATCGCTTAAGGCGGATTCGTTCCATATTTCTTCATATTTATCCATTCTTATTTTGTGTCGACATGCAGTTTGTTCGTATGTAGCTAATCTGTCCATATTATCAATCCATGTGCTCAATGGAATCTTTTTGCGGCTCTTCCAATTCATCAAAACAAGTTTTTTTGCTTCTAATATAGCACGGTACACCCATTTTTTTTGCTCCCTTGAAATCTCCCACATTTCCGTAATATAATTTAGAATTAAATTCAATTCCCCTAAATAACAATTTATTTTTATTACTCTTGCTATAAATATCCTCACCTCACACCAAAATGATCTTATCATTGGGCAGTTAATCAACATATGTACAGTGGTGCACAGCAAGACGAACGCCTCGCAAGACGGAAAACCCGCTAGACGAAAGGGTTTTCCTTTTTGGAGGCGCTTCGCAAAATGAATTTCCCTATGGGGTTGCTTCGCAAGACGAAAAAATCTTGCGGGTCCCCGCGGGTTTTTTTCGCTTCCCCCCCTTTTCCTAAGCCGCTAAGCCGCCTATCAGCTGTTCCGCTGATAACCCGCTTAACAGCTGATCGCGAAAAGCCGCTAGACCGCTGTAGCGCTAATCCGCTAAGCTGTCAATGGGCTTGCTTCGCAAGACGAAAAAACCGCTAGACGAAGAGAATCGCGGAACGGATTCTTTTCGTCTTGCGAGGCACCACTGTACTAAGTTCGCATTTTTACTCCCAGCAGTTGTCTGCACTTGTTATTTTCTTCTGGTATAATTTTGCTGGAATCCAGTGGACTCTGAATATTATTTTCTGTTGAATAAGTCTTAGTCTTAGATCCATAGAGGTTATTTCTGTTGATTTTATACTTGACTCCCATATATCATTTGTTATCTGTACCCCTAACTCTAAACTCCATTTTTGTCTTTCGTATTCTAAATCATATTTCTTCCTGTTGAGTAGGGTTTTATATAGTGCAAGTGTAGAGTTTTTTGTTTTTGTTGCTCTCTCCCCACCTGTGATTCCTGGCAACTGGCATTTGGGGACACGCTCCCTCTGAGAGCCAGTGTGGTATAGTGGTTAAGAGCGGTAGTCTCGTAATCTGGTGAACCGGGTTCGCGTCTCCGCTCCTCCACATGCAGCTGCTGGGTGACCTTGGGCCAGTCACACTTCTCTGAAGTCTCTCAGCCCCACTCACCTCACAGAGTGTTTGTTGTGGGGGAGGAAGGGAAAGGAGAATGTTAGCCACTTTGAGACTCCTTAGGGTAGTGATCAAGCGGGATATCAAATCCAAGCTCTTCTTCTTCTTCTTCTTCTTCTGACAGAGGAGGTTGAATGTGGCCATCATCATCAATCAGTGGCGCCTCCTTCCCAAAGTCCAGGAAGCTTCTGCCCAGCTTAGGGAGGGAGGCGCAATGCTCACATGTTCAACGTCAGGACATCAAAACATTGCTCATGTGACATCGCCCTCACAAACTGGCACCTCTGGCCCTAACTGTTTGCCTATGAAAAGTTTCACCACACACCACTGGTCATCATCATCATCAACAACATTATCATTTATTAAATTTGCATACCTCCCTTCCTCCGACGATCACAGAGAACACAAAACGCATAATGAAACAAAAGCTAATCCAATAGCCCTGCTCCCACAAGCACATCTAAAAGGCCCTAGTAGCTTCTGATAGCCTTCTCCTCCATGAATGGAGCCTTCCAAATGGTATCTGCTTCAACTTCTTGTATTTCCATTGTGAGAATTTTACAATGCAGGAAGCTGATTTCTGGACACTCACCTAGGTAACCTTCTTATAAGGGTATAGGGAACCTCTTGCTAGCTTCTTGGTGGATGAGGATTTCTCGCAAGTGCCTGTGGTTCTGCTGACATAATGAAAACTGTTTTCCTGCTTAGATCATGTACTACCAGCAGGCCATAATGAAAACCACAGTAAAGTCCTCTGTCTCCCTGGGAGGGTAAGTGCTAACTTTGTTTTAAGGCATAGCATATTATGCCCTTCCATTTATTAGTGATTGAGGGCTTACACACACTTAACTTTTCCACCACTCTTTCCAAGCGCAGTCTGTGACTTAAAGCTTTTTGTCCAAGCACACCCACCCACCCCATTTTTTGTTTGTCTGTCCTGGAGCTTTCCCTTTGAACACCCACTCTTTAAAGCTCAATCAGAGCAAACAGCAATCCACAGACAACCTGAATTGATGTTTGCTCCGATTCAGCTCTAAAGAGCAGGTTTTTGTGGGGAAAGCTCAGGGCAAAAAATTAAAAATGCTCCGACACACGAGTGTCACAGCACAGGCCACTGTCTAGAAAGATTGGGCCCAAAGGTCAGTGTGGATAAGCCCTAATTCAATACTTTCAATAATGTGATTTAGCTAGTGATTATTTTAAAAAGAAAAGAAAAGGAATGGCAGGAAGGGTATCTGTTTTGAGCTTTGCCCTTTCTGACCTTTCTGACCTGAAGCCTTTCTTTCTAATCTCACATCATAGACCCATGGAATTGTAGAGTTGGAAGGGACCCCAAGGCTCATCTATTCCAGGCTAAGTTACACGAATCCACCTCTGTTCAAGAATTCCTGGCCTGAACGGAATAGGGCAGTGGGGAGTATAGGGCATTTCCTCCACAAGCTGGAAAAGGGCAGGGGGACAGAATCTTTCCCAGCGGAAGCATCTAGAAGCAGGAGCTTTCTATTAGCCTAGAGGGAAGCCAAAGCTAAGGGGACCAGATGCGCGTCAAATTACACTTGCTAAAATTCCCTGTTCTGCACAACTATTGAAGAAAGTGCAGGATCGCTTTACGGTTTTGCACCTGGCCTCCTCAGCCAAAACGGCCGTCTGTTTTCTGGCATGCATGAGCAAGCAATAGCTGAATTGAAAAAAGCCCAGGTGCATGCCTGCACCGAAGCATGCAAACACCAGGAATGCAGCCAGGTTTTTGAGTTTTTAAAGTAAGATAACACGGAGTTGGATACCTGCCAGGTCGAGTGTCTGCTAACGGAGGCCCAGCTCCCATCAACTCATTGCACGATTAAGCAAACTGGTTGCCTAGAAACATCATTTGGTGCAGCTCTTCCTGGACATTGGCACTTCAGACTGCAGGTTTTAATCATCTCCCATGTTAAAATAGCTTTCTAGAGAGAAACTATCATATCTACAGGAAGGCTAGGCTATGCCACTTTCCCTCCATATGGTTGCTTTCCATTAAATAGATGGGTTTTTTGATACATTCAGGGGTACATTTAAACCTGTGATCCTTCACCTGCGTTCCAAAGTGATGGAGTCCAGGCTGGGCTTTGCCAGGTGATATTCTGGAATATGTTGTCCAGGTTTGAGTTCCCCATAGGCATATGCATGTAATGGATTGTTCAGCCTTTTCACTCTTCTGCAGTGAGCTTAGAACCAACACAAAATTTGTAACTGTTTTGTGAAATGACTGGTATAAAATTACTGTTGGGCTAGGCAGGAACGTTCCAAGTGTTATAATTCGCAGCACAGAATGTCCTTCATCTTGTGCAGTCATTGAAGTCATTCGTAGTTTCCTTCCTACTGTACTGTTTATGATGTTGCCCACAGATGATCACCTTGTTTTCATTTCCAATGTTTTCAGAATTGTGAAGTACTGTGAACAGTTCCGCTCCAATGACTGCATAATCTCAGGTTGCCTCCCCAGCAACCCCTGGATCTCAGATGAGGTTGACTTTTGGGATTACAATGCAAAGCTGTATGTACTACATTTACATTTCCTTTTGTTAATTACAGTGACTTTACCTAAGCAGGGGTGAATCTGTCAATTTCAATTTCTCTTAGGCTCTCATTTTCCCAATCTTAAGTCAGTTCTCCACATTTCCGCATCAGTTTGAGATTTTTTTTTTAAAAAAGTTCACATGAAAATTCATCAGCCTTTTTTGTGCAAATTTCACCTTACGTATGTTTCTGTGCAATTTTGCTTGATATACACTTTTTTTTTTTTTGCAAAGCAATTTCCCCTTATATAATGAACACTTGATCTCAGTTATATGCATTATATTCACGTTACTTGGCTGGAGAACAAGTGTGCATTTTGAAGGATGACCGTGTTTCGGTTTTTACAGTACATTGTTTTGGAAAATGTGTCTTTGAAAAGCAGAGGAGAGGCATTTGTAACGCGGATGAGCATTCCTGACCGAGATAGGTTTTACCTTCCCATTGCAAAGCTGTTTTCGAAAAGAGCTGCTTTAAGCCTCATGAATGTTGGCCTAAGAGACGGGTGCAGAATCTTTGTTGTTGTTGTTATTGAGAACTATGCTATGTCAGGAATAATCTGTTGGCAGCCATGCTGTTGGTGGACAGAGTCAGAGTCAGTGGTGGAAAGTAGTTGAAACCAGTGGTTGGCAAAAGTGGACAAGACCAGAACTAAACATAGGAGAGACAAACTGCATCCCCTCTGTTTGGCCTTCTTTCCTGTCTCTCCCCTGTTGCCACCTACAGGAAGTTAGGTCTAGGGCTGCACACTTCTCACCCTGGGTGAAGAGCTGATCTGAGCATGCTCTGGTGTTAGTTGCAGGTGCCAACGCAAATATATGCCTCCTTGTTGCGGTGTGCCTTCTCCAAAATGTAATTAGGATTTGTGCTTTGTCGTTGGACAATGGGAATCAATAATACCTGCTCAGCGAAGCTACTGCATTATGAATCAAATTAGAATCAGACTCTTTGTGTATAATGATCCTGCTACATGCAACAATGCTTAATTACTAGTTACTTGGACTCGAGAGCTCATTGCGGTGTATTGGAAAGCAGGGGGGAAATCTCTATGCTGCCAACCTGATATGTGTGGAGAGTGTGTGTGTTTGTGTGGTGTGTGTGTCTGCGCATGGGGCTTCTGCTTTCTATTAAAACACACAAATAGATAGACTGTTTGAATCTCACAGGAAATGATTTCAGAAAGAAACAGCGCAACCTCTTTGCCATTAAACTTCCACAGGGTGGAAATCCCCACCAAATCACGAGTGGAGAGATGGGCCTTCAATTTTAGCGAGCTGATGAGGGACCCCAAAGGCCGCCAGAACTTCCAGCTGTTCCTGAAGAAAGAGTTCAGCGGTGGGTGTGAAATTGTGTCTCTGCTTTTCCACCTCTCTAGCTCCTCTTGAAAGTGCTGGAGGACTTTGATCTCATACGTGGCTCCCCTGAGATGAATCTCATTTTCCAAAAAAACCGCTTCCGTTCTCCCTTTACAATAGGTGAGGTGCCCTGAGGTAACAGTGCAAAGAGTACAAATCTGTCCATTATAGCTTTTGCCCGTGGCTTTACATCCAAGTGGCTCAAGACATAAAACAATGCAAAGCCTGCCACCACAAAGGGGCTGCTGTGATGTATTAAAAGCGCTTGAAAACGCAAAGCTTTTTGCATATTGTAGATCTTCTCTGTATCTGCAAGGCCACAAATGAATAGGGCAAGAAGTAGTATGCCCAGATACAAAGACAGAGAAAGCTCCCGTACTTCTGACATTTGTGCAAAAGCAAAAATTCTGGAAAGGGCAACTTTTCATGAGGAGGAAATAAGAAAATCTCTGCACCTGCTTCTAGAAGAGCCAATTCAGGGTCCCCCTTTGCATCACCACACTAGAATCACGTTCAGCTGATTTAGGCTATTGACTTAAAATATTATATATCATGCAGGATTATTTTCCTTTCTCTTTTAATTCAGGGGAGAATCTGGGATTTTGGGAAGCTTGTGAAGATCTGAAGTATGGAGACCAATCCAAGGTGAAAGAAAAAGCAGAAGAAATTTACAAGTGAGCACAGTATATAGCGTTACAAAAATTTTCCCTGGTGTCCTTTTCCTACATTGTACCAGTTTTTGTAAAAAAAAATAATGAAACGAAACGCTGAGTTGCAATTTCTTTCATGTTTTTAGTAGGATTTCAAAGCACTGGTAAATCCATGCAGAAGTCTTCATGTGACCTAGTTGCACATAGATTTCTGCCACATGATAGATGCAAAAAAAGAGCTACTTTACGGGGAGAAGAAGGGTCACACGAATTCATCTTAAGAATATGATTGTAAGCACATTTGCCAGGCAATAAGCAATGCCTGAACGTTCTTTTTCTAGCACTGGAAGACTAGCTACATGGCCTGAGACTTTTGCACTGAGGAGTCTTTTGAATATCCTAAGTGAAATGTGAGCTGGAGCCGCTGAAAAGACTCTCAGTGGTTCCAGTGGAGGACTGGTGGCATTAAAGCTACACATCATTAGGTACATGTGCAGTGTCCGAGATAACAGGAGACCTTTAGTGATACCTGTTCACGTCAAAGAGTAAGAATTGCATTCCGTCGGTCGACAGGAGAATATTTAGAGCTGCCTCAAACAGGAAGTATGTCCCTACAGCCTTTCTTCCCCAGTTTTATTTTAATCCCCTTTATTTTCATTTTCGATTTCAGGACCTTCTTGGCACCTGGAGCAAGGCGCTGGATCAATATTGACGGCACCACTATGGGCATCACAGTCAGAGGCCTCAAACACCCTCATCGCTATGTCTTAGATGCTGCACAGACTCACATTTATATGCTGATGAAGAAGGTTTGCTGTTTTTTTGCTTACTAATTCCAGCTGGTTGTCCTTCCCAGTTATCCAAATGGCATTGCCATCACTCCCACCCAAGCTTTTTTGAGAGAAGCAGGATTTGCCCGTTGTCCGAATCTACCCTGGTGAAATTTGAAGAAAACACATGAAATAATCTTTTTGTGACAGTCTTGGGACACCTCTTTTTGGGACTGACTCAGCCCTTATTTTGGCCATGCAACGATATAATCAAAGCTATGCTTTGATGAGGAAGGAACTAATATACTATTTATGCAGAATAAAATTATGTAAGATCTAAGAATGCCCAACGTATACAATGGAAGTATTTTTGAAATTAGAAGACAAAACAGGATAGCTTTGATGTTTTGTACAACAGAGCTGCAGTTCTTAATTTCTCTGGCATTTCCCATAAAGTGGCCCGGTCTGCACTTAAAGCAAACCCATGGTTTGTTTGACCGAACTGTGACTTCTGTTTGAACATCTAAACCCAGTCTAACAGACTAATCATGGTTTGTTTTCTAATGGAATCCATTATGCGAAGCCATGGTATGGTGTTGGCTTACAAACCATGGCTCGTTTTAACTATGGTTTAGCATCATGCCTTGGCCACCCTACCTCAGATGCTTACTAAGCTACAGAGGCACAAGGCTGGAGCAGCTGAAAAACAAACTAAAGCTTCGGGGAAATGAAGCATGACTTGTTTGCTCATCTATGTGGGAAGCTGTCTTATGCCATTTCAAACCGTTGGTCCATCTAACTCAGCTAAACTAATTGACAGCAGCTCTCTGGGATTTCAGGTGCAAAGCAGCTTTTCTCCTGAGCTATGGCCCTTCATCCACCATCTATGGGATGACTTGTGGTTTGCTGAGCAAGCAATGGTTAAAACAAGGCTTAGCGTTATGTGCAAACACACCCTTTCCCATCCCTGGGCACTCTTTTTCAGATGAAGGCATACCTGCCTCTTTTCCTGTTTGGCTGACCTCATAACATTACAGAAGCAGTAGCATAGCTGTCAACCGTCCCTTATTTGGCGGGAAAGTCCCTTATCCCAGCGCCGTGTCCCGCTGCTGTCCCTTATTGATGATGTCCCTTAAATTTCCCGGGTTTCAAAGGAAGCATCTCCTCTCCCTCCCTCCCTGCCTGCCAGGGAGGAGGGAGGCTCCAACTGTGTTGCTTGGCTGCGTTGCTCACCCAAAAAGGAGTCTAAGAACGACTGGGGGGTGGAGCTTCCATGCCTTGTGCCGATCAAATCGGCCGTGTTGCCTGGGGACTCGCCTTTGCTCAGCGCTTCCCAGCGGAGAGGTGACGGTGGTTTTCCTTGCTGCATCCCCTTTGCCGGGTTGCTGCGCTGTGGGAACCACCGCTTGAGGCTTTGTTTGGCTGCTGGCTGGGCTTTCTGCCTTTGGCTCGGAGGGGCTCAGAAGTTGAACATGCCTGTGCTCGCAAAATCCATTATTTTGGCTGCTGGTCCCTTATTTTTGAGGCGGCTGGTCCCTTATTTTTGAGGCTGCTGGTCTCTTATTTTCAAATCTGTAAGCTGACAGCTATGAGCAGTAGCCAAATGAAGAAGGTTGCGAAGATAGCATTCAGTTCAATAGTCAACTTATTTCTCTGGGGTTCAGCTTTCTCAGAATGCTTTAAAGCCTCTGAGTGTGCTTTCAGAAAAGGTAATGCAACCACAGGAAACTTAATTTCAGCTGACACCGACTGCAGCTTGACACAGGAGATGGATGGAGGAAGCGAAATAGTTTAACCACAACATTTGTCCTCCCCTCTCCGCCCCAGCAAGTTTGATAATGCGATTTGAAATGTGTTGGGGCAGATGGTGGCAAAATGATGTGTCGTTACAAGAACAATAGATCCAATAGATTGAAGAAACCAGAAAGCCATCTAGCCCAAACGGCAGCAGCGTTTCCGAGCACAATTCAAAGTGTTGGTGCTGACCTTTAAAGCCCTAAACGGCTTCGGTCCAGTATATCTGAAGGAGCATCTCCACCCCCATCGTTCTGCCCGGACACTGAGGTCCAGCGCCGAGGGCCTTCTGGCGGTTCCCTCACTGCGAGAAGCCAAGTTACAGGGAACCAGGCAGAGGGCCTTCTCGGTAGTGGCACCCAACCTGTGGAAGGCCCTCCCGTCAGATGTCAAAGAGAACAACAACTACCAGACTTTTAGAAGACATCTGAAGGCAGTCCTGTTTAGGGAAGCTTTTAATGTTTGATGTATTACAGTATTTTAATATTTTTTTGGAAGCCGCCCAGAGTGACTGGGGAAGCCCAGCCAGATGGGCGGGGTATAAATAATAAATTGTTGTTGCTGTTGTTAGGACCATCTTACGTCTTCCAATCTCAGTTAGGTAATCCCACCACACTTAGGGTATGTGCCCTGCAATGGTGCTTACATAATATAGTAGCTCTGGGTGACTTGAGGTATATCAGGCCATACCCTTCAAGGAGTCATAGCATATATACCCTTTAATAATACAATTCCCACTTCCTTTCGCTGGCTTTGAATGGCTGAAATGCACACTTGAAGAAGGGAGTGTTGGAGCTTATGTGATGTTTTTTCCTTCCTAGGATGAGAACTTCACCCCCATCTCTTACTGAGTGCTCTGGCCACAGATTTCTAACCACATGGGCATTAATTTAACCAGTGGTTTTCATAACACATATGTGGAGAAGAGATGTTCCGTTGTGCTCTTGGGCGACATTATTCTTTTCCCTTGCACGTTCCCCCCGCCTCTTTGACTCCCAAACAGCTGTAAGGAGAGATGATTTTAATTAGGATGCTTGTAATCTATAACTACCGTTTCCCCTCTCCTTCTCCCCAGTAGGATTCGTTCGGTCGCTATTTAAAGTCTCCGATATACAAGGAAATACTGTCCAAGGCAATTGTGCCGCAAGAAGCCGCCGTGAAGAAAAGGCAAGCCGATTGGGGTTTAATTGCGGGTTATTTGCTGTTGGATTAATCGAGGGCACAAAGTGCTGGGGCCTGAGCAAAAACTACTGTGATTTAGGCATTTGCATAATTTAAAGTGGGTTTTTTCATGTTGGGCGGGACAGACAGATAACCCCTCATTTTGGAGTCTGCAGATGCTTCGCTTCCAAGAAGGATCAGCTATTGTGGAAAAGCCTTTTGCCCTAACAGGAGTTTCCTCTGGCCACTAGCCTGCGCCACATTCCCCTCTTTCTTTAAAGCATAGCTGGACAGAAACAGCTGTACCTTGCACTGCTGTTGGTTGTTATGGAAACCACCCTATGGTAAGCCTCGTCTGCAGGCTCCTGAAGCTGGTTTATTGAGCAGCAGCAATAAGAAGAGTTGTTAATATTAGCAGCAGTCGTGTATTGATTGAGTGGTTTCCCAAGCTGCTTGACGGGCCTGTTCTCGAGGTCCTTACTAGCATCCTTGTGTAGTAGGCCTGTATGTTTACCCTCATGTTGCAGAAGGGGCTGGCTGGGGCTAAGAAACAGGGGTTCCCTACAGGCCAGGCAGCCTGCTGACATGCGGCGCAGAAGATAAGACTAGTGGCTGGCTTAGCATTCTGCCTTCTGGAATGTGCAACTCTCACGCAAACTGCAAAGCTGAGAGCTCACCCTACAGGTGAATAACATGATGCAGTTTCTCTCTCAAGGACATGTTTGTTTTTACCTTTAAGGGATGGTTCCCTCAAACCGCCCTCCTCCTTTGCTGCTTCAGATGGCAGAACAAGGCGACTCATTTCCAGCAAGCTTTTGAAATACAGTGGTACCTCGGGTTAAGTACTTAATTCGTTCCGGAGGTCCGTTCTTAACCTGAAACTGTTCTTAACCTGAAGCACCACTTTAGCTAATGGGGCCTCCTGCTGCTGCTGCACCGCTGGAGCACAATTTCTGTTCTCATCCTGAAGCAAAGTTCTTAACCCGAAGTACTATTTCTGGGTTAGCAGAGTCTGTAACCTGAAGCGTCTGTAACCTGAAGCATATGTAACCCGAGGTACCACTGTATTCCAACTGCTTCTTTATGAAAACTGTTCCCCCCCCACCTCCCTGCCCATTTTTGTTGCTGTTGCAGCAGGGCTTCATTTGTTCTTTGCATGCTGTTTCGCCGTGCGTGTTTTTAGTAAGCTGCTTTCTGAACCGCAAGATTACGAGAAGTGCGAATTTCGAAAGGCAGCTGCATTTCAGTATTGTTGAGTCCAGAAAGCGTGAATTAGGTAGATTCGCCTTTAAATGTGAAATGAATCAAAACTCTTCCCCCCATCCCTAGTGTAGAATGACATAGGGCTACATCAGGAGTCAGCAACCTTTTTCAGCCATGGGCCAGTTCACCATCCCTCAGACCATGTGGGGGCCGAACTATATTTTTTTGGAGGGGAGGGGAATGAACGAATTCCTATACCCCGCAAATAACCCAGAGATGCATTTTAAATAAAAGCACACATTCTACTCATGTACAGTGGTTCCTCGGGTTAAGAACTTAATTCGTTCTGGAGGTCCGTTCTTAACCTGAAACTGTTCTTAACCTGAGGCACAACTTTAGCTAATGGGGCCTCCCGCTGCCGCCGCACGATTTCTGTTCTCATCCTGAAGCAAAGTTCTTAACCTGAGGTACTATTTCTGGGTGGGTTAGCGGAGTCTGTAACCTGAAGCGTCTGTAACCTGAAGCATCTATAAGCCAAGGTACCACTGTAAAAACACCAGGCAGGCCCCCAAAATAACCCAGAGATTCATTTTAAATAAAAGCATACATTCTACTCATGTAAAAACACACTGATTCCCTGATCGTCCGTGGACTGGATTAAGAAGGCGATTGGGCCGCATCCGGCCCCCCGACCTTAGGTTGCCTACCCTTGGGCTACATCAAGGGAGAAACAGAAGGTAGCTGTAGCTATGAAAACCAACATAGAAATATATTACCCAATGAATAAGCGCTTCTCCTGCCTGCTGTTTCTCCCCACCCTTTTCCCTGGGCTGTCCCCAAGCTGGACTTCTTTCTAGTCTTCGGACAGGTTGTGAGGAAAGTCAGCAATATTTGAGCCCCCTCCCTTGCTCTGTGGCTCTTTGGCAGCCATCATCCCTGTTCTAAGACACAGTTCTTACTTCCATTTGTATACACTCAAATGGAAACATGTGTTATATCCCTCTGCTAACAGCAGTTAGAATGGGCAATGTGGCTTCCCATAAATTAACAAAGGGTTCAGAGGACTAGATATCGATCTCATCTCCCTGCTTGATAACATTTGGATCTGCACTAAGAATGTGAGTCTTGGGTTCTGTCTCTTAGCAGGAGAGAGAGTTCAACGTTACCCTGTATAAGATTTGTCTAGACAGAGAATTGCCGTAGTTTAATCAAAACCAGATTCTAGGGAACCCAGATTAAGCATGTGTTTGAATATTCTGTGTATAATCTTTTGAGTGTTTTTATTTTTTAGGACTGCTCCGCTTTTTATGTGGCAATTGTGTTTGTTGTGGCAAGGCCAGTGTTTCCTTCATTAAGTGCATAAAGGCTGTGCACACATGGTAGTTTAAAGTGGATTTGATGCATCTCATGTTGTCCACTCAACATTGTCCTCATCCAAGCGTTTGCCAATGCACGGATCCTTTTGGATGTGGGGTGGGGATGCTCATACCTGGTCTGCTGACATGCACAGGGGCCGGGAACGGGACCCCCACGCAAAATGGTCATCATCTGTAGACTTCCTTTGTGAGTTAGAAGTACCCCCCCCCAATTCACATAACAACCTTTTAATCCTGAATTGAGAAATGAACAAGATATCTCATTCACAGCAGTAGCATGTTCTTGCCATATATGGTACAATCCTCCAGAGTAATCCTGTCAGGTGGCTGTTGCGGTTGCTCGAGAGTAACCAGGCAGGACTCCGACCTGTGTTTTACAGGCTTTATTTTGGTGCAAACTATTTACGGTGAAGAGCCCCAGAGCTCATGTCTGGCTCAATCGCTAGCAGAATCCGGGAGTGGTCTTCTTTTGGACCTCCCCCAACATAAGAGTTTCGTTACCCCCAACCGTCTCCGCCCCTCTCTGCGCCTCAGACTACTGTGCAGGATGGCCGATGGCAAAGGCGTGTTTCCCTCCTGTCCGGTTTGCTCAGGAGCGGTGTTAAGGCTCCTACCAGCATCCTCTGGTCCTTGGACCTCTTCTCCACTGGAGGTGGGGCTTTCCTCCTCCCGGAAGAGGAACTGCTTCGCAAGATTTTTGGAGGCTCCCTGTAACACAACTGCCCTTCTATTTCTCGCCTCTGAGCCGATGGCAGTTCCCTGACAAATCCCATTGACTTTAGTCGAAATGTTGCCTCCCTGCCCCCCCTCCCACCAATGGATGTGGCTCTCTTATTCTGGGACCACACTGTCATTTGGTGTGTGTGTGTGTGTGTGTGTGTGTGTGTGTGTGTGTGTCAGTGAGGTAGATTGAACTTAGTCTAGGTCTTTTTTATATATATATATAGTTCCCAATTACCAAAGTCTCACAAAGAGAATTTCATATGCTTGTTCCAGAGTGTTTGCAAATGCCAGCTTCTATCTGTATTTTCCCAAGGTGTAAAGGGAAAAGGTAAAGGACCCCTGGACAGTTAAGTCCAGTCATACTTGAACACTGAAGTGTGTGCAGCCTGCAGCTCTCTAAAATACCTGGCTGCCACCAATGCGATTTTCAAACGCTGCTATGTTGCGCAATGTTGCAAGTAGCACTCGCAAATGTAGTCGTGTTTGCTGTGAAGTGCTTCTGAAAAGGCTTCGCACATAACCAGAAGGCTGCAGACAGCATTCAACTGCACTTTGGAATAATTTGCAGGTACAGAATGAAGTGGTAGCATAGAGCAGGTATGTGTACAGCTGAGAGAGTGATCTGCTACCATCTTTCAGCCATGAATATATCACTGAAATCACTTGCAGGTTGAAAATCTAAGGAGAGATCTTGTTCCTCCCAAATGGAGTTTGGTTGCTAGCATTAATAACAGAAGCGCTTGCTTTTTAAAATGTTTTGCTTAGGATTTAGGGAGCACGTATCTGTAGAATCAGTAATCATATCTTAGGAAGGGGTTTGCATTGGGGGACAAGTCCTGAAATGTACACACACATACACACAGAGAACAATTAGAGGTCACTATCTCAAGCTTGGGGTGCGGGTTAGCACTGTGACTAGCCCAAGGTCACCCAGCAGCTGCATGTGGAGGAGCGGGGAAGCGAACCCGGTTCACCAGATTACGAGTCCACCGCTCTTAACCGCTACACCACACTGAGTTTATGGGATGTTATCCCAGGGCAATTCGTTTTGTAAACAGGTGCTGATTAATCCATTGGCGCAGAGCTGGGTTTGATGTGGTTTCTTGACGCTCCTATGTTTTTCTGCCTCCCCAGATACCCTCAGATACGTCCGCCTTCCAATGTTGTACACAACGACCCTCCCCTTACTGTCTTCTCCTCTGTTTTCTTTTTTAGCTCTAATAATCCGTTTGCTCGCCGGCACCTCCGCTCCAGCCCCAGCCCCGTCGTCTTGAGGCAACAGGAGGAAGAAGCCAAGGCGAAAGAAGCAGCGGCCAACGTGGACATCACCCAGGTTATGAGCAAGCTGGATCGTAGAAGCCAGCTCAAGCAGGAGCCCCCACCTGCTAAGTAGGGCTCAGATGTTGGTGAAAAGGCCAAGCAGAGGAGTCGTGAGGGTGTTGGCTGAATGTAGAGCTGCATTTCCTGTCTCCTCCCTGCAGGTGGCAGTGGTGCTTCGTCATGATACGAAACATTTCTCTGTGCTCTCCATCCCTCCTTTCCACACAGCATGTTGTTGCCATGGCGCCCAGAGTAGTGTCACTTCACAAGCCATCGCTGGTAGAATCGTTGAACGCAGGTGGCAGTAGTTGCCATGTGAACCTCACAGTGACTTTCCCCATATCAAATGGGCTTGTGTGTGTGTGTTTTAAACAAGCCAAGGAAACAATGTTTTCTATAAACTGCCTGAAACATCCCTCCCGGTTCTAAATATTCGGAAATCTAGATACCATGGCAACTGGCTTCCCTCTTCTCCCGCTGCCTGCAAAGGATGGAGGGGAAGAGATGGCAAAAGTGTGCTCTGAGGGCAGAGCTTATTCTGGTTTCCGGGCGCTGTTGAGGAATCCTAAATAAGGGTGCATACTTAACACAGCTGGGGCACCACTCACCTTGCCATGCAAACAGTTCAGACGGTTAAATATCAAACAAAGGGTAGATTATTCCCTCCCTTTCTTTTCAGGGCATGCTTGGGGATTAGGTATTCTGATCAGTATTTGTGGGTGCTAAGCGCAGAACCAAGCGGCCGCAATTGGCCCATACGAATTAACAAGCAGTACGTATTGTGGTCTTGTGCATGTAAACATGCATTCCGCATTTCCGAAGCAACTTGAAGCCGCTGTCTGCTCAAATGCATATTCGTTTGAGCGGAATAGGAGTATCAGTTGGCCGGGGCGTAACTTGGTCATAGAGAGGGGAAGTCCTTTATGGATTCAGAGCTCTAACAGGGAGGGCCATAGCTTGGGGGGTTGGAGCATCTACTCTGCATGTTGAAGGCTCCAAGTTCAGTCCCTAACATCTCTAGGTAGGGCTGGAGTTGTCCCCTGGAAAGCTGCTGTCCGTCAGGTTAGAGAATACTGAGCTGAATGGATCAATAGTCTTGACTCAATATCGGGCAGTTTCCTATGTTCCTTAGGGTTCTTGTATTAAAGGGGATGCTAACAAATGGAGAACGTTCGTTTTCCTCCACCTAGCTCCAAGTCCCATTTGGTTTTATTTGCTGTGGAATTCCCCAAAGATGGGAACCTAATATCTTAGAGGCGTGCACATGGGGCTGCCATACTGTAAAGGAAGAAGACGGGTGATTTTCGGAAGGAATCTTCCTAATATTCTTGCAGCACTCTACGGCGGTCTTCAGGCCTGTTCTGGCAAGCAGCTGGCCTGTGTTGACTCCAACAGCCAACACAAGGCAAGCAATTTGTATGCATCTTGTTTGTGGAGGGATGATCACATGACTGACGAGTGGTAGCCATGTTGCATTTGCTGAAAGTTTAAGAATTGAGATTTTTTTTTGGAAGCTGCCCAGAGTGGCTGGGGAAGCCCAGCTAGATGGGCGGGGTATAAATAAATTATTATTATTATTATTATTATTATTATTATTATTATTATTATTACATTCTAGGCAAGAGGCTTTTTCTCTGCCATAGTGTGGAAAGCCAGTTGGCAGCCATAGGCATCTAGCCCTGCTTGCTGTGTAGACTGAAAAGAACACAGGTCAAAGCCATCGGAGTTGTACTGACTGGAAGTGTTGAATAAAATTTAGCCTCTCTTGTATCCTTCGTGGGCATAGTCAGGAGGACTTAAATGCTTGCCTCCTCCCACCCCCTCAAAAAAAAACAACACAAAAAAACCCTAATCCAAAAACAATGGCAATATCGTTTTTCCTTAAATGTTCAGTGCTTCATAAGTCTGGATCAAGAAGTGTTCGAAACATTCCGGAATCTTATGGGCATCTGAATGGAATCGGGACTCCCTCCTACTCATCTCTTTTCCCATTAAGTTATTTCAGCTGTATGATTTATATCTCTTTATCATCTGCTCCATCTCTGGGCTTGCTTGCAGATTTTCTCTCCTCTTTATCACTGCATTTCATCATTTCCTGCAAAATGCCAGTAAAACTTTAGGAATCACTCTGACAGTGGCAGGCAGAAAATCACAGTAGAAAAGGCTGCGAGAAAATACCCTCCCCCTACAAAAATGCAATATTAAAAGCAGTGTAGGAGTGATAGCTTCTACCAGCTCAAAGAAGTCTAAAGGTAGCCAAGGGAAATAAAAAAAAAATTAAAATATTGTCCAGTATCACCTTAGAGACCAACTAAGTTTGTTCTGGGTTTCCGAGCACAATTCAAAGTGTTGGTGCTGACCTTTAAAGCCCTAAACGGCCTTGGTCCAGTATATCTGAAGGAGCGTCTCCACCCCCATCATTCTGCCTGGACACTGAGGTCCAGTGCCGATGGCCTTCTGGCGGTTCCCTCGCTGCGAGAAGCAAAGCTACAAGGAACCAGGCAGAGGGCCTTCTCGGTAGTGGCACCCGCACTGTGGAACGCCCTCCCATCAGATGTCAAAGAGATAAACAACTACCAGACTTTTAGAAGACATCTGAAGGCATCCCTGTTTAGGGAAGCTTTTAATGTTTAATAGGTTTTTTAATATTCTGTTGGAAGCCGCCCAGAGTGGCTGGGGAAACCCAGTCAGATGGGCGGGGTATTATTATTATTATTATTATTATTATTATTATTATTATTATTATATTCTGGGTATAAGCATTTATTTCGTAAGCAGAGTCCCATGAAGCACTCAAGTTTGAAAGTGCGACTATGGAGATTAGCTCATTAAAGGAAGCCCCATAATTGTCCTGCCTCTTTGTTTATCGAGGCCAACATGGAAACAACAGAATAGCCTGAAGCAAGAGGTTTCAAACTGCGTTCCAGGCAACCTTGAGGTTCCTTGGGGACTTCTTCAGTGGTAACTTCAGCAGGGGCAGCCAAACTTTCTTAAAAGTGCATTCCCATCAGGGTTGACACCCCCCCCCCCGCAATGTATAGTGACAGAAGAACATTGGATGCATTGTAGGTTCTATTCTCCGTTTGCATGGAATGACTGTAAGGCCAAGGACATAGTGGGTGATATTCAATTAAGTTGTGTGCATGGAATGACGTCCGCTCACCCAACGGGACTTCTCCCCATCTGCTCTGGAGGTTTGGTCGCATGAGCAGACCTCTTTCTGTGCACAAATACCCCATTTAGCACTACACTGAATTCCATCCAGTATGCCCTAGAACCCTTTGTAATGAGTAGGTGGCCTTCAGTATGGAAAGAGTTCAAGTTCACCAGTAGAAAGTTTGAAAACTGCTTAAGATACCACAGAGCTGTAAGACTGTTTGTTGGCCTCTAAGCTCGTGCTCTCTTCCATCTTTCTTTCCTTGTGGCAAATATGTCAATGCATGTAAATGATGTCATTGCTTTTCATTTTCTGTTGAATGCCCAAAATGGAATAGGCTTCACATCTAGTTAAATTAAGAAGAGGGGGACTTCTAGTGGGATTTCAGAATACTGCTTTATTTTTCCTTTCTTTTATCTCCTCTGGTCAAATAAAACTAGAAAGCGAAACCATCACTGTGCTTGTCTGTCATGTCTTTTGCCTCTCTTCTGTGCGTCTTTCATTTGTTCATACTGTGTTGCCTCTGTCCCATTGGTTTGAATTGGTTTTCCTTTTCTAAAATACTGGTGAATAGTGCATACGTCGATTCTTAGTGCTTCAAGAGAGCTTGAAAAACCATTGTGTAAGATCATGTCAAATTAGGTAGGCGTCTACTTAATTTGACAACATTAAGTCTTGCTACATGTCTTAATCATAGGGTAAAAGGTAAAGGTAAAGGTACCCCTGCCCGTACGGGCCAGTCTTGACAGACTCTAGGGTTGTGCGCCCATCTCACTCAAGAGGCCGGGGGCCAGCGCTGTCCGAAGACACTTCCGGGTCACGTGGCCAGCGTGACAAAGCTGCATCTGGCGAGCCAGCGCAGCACACGGAACGCCGTTTACCTTCCCGCTAGTAAGCGGTCCCTATTTATCTACTTGCACCCGGGGGTGCTTTCGAACTGCTAGGTTGGCAGGCGCTGGGACCGAACGACGGGAGCGCACCCCGCCGCGGGGATTCGAACCGCCGACCTTTCGATCGGCAAGCCCTAGGCGCTGAGGCTTTTACCCACAGCGCCACCCATGTCCCAATCATAGGGTACCATCTTCTAAAACTGCCTTCTACTGGTTGTGTTTGTAGCAATACCAGAGCCTAATAGTCTTCAGAAGCTCCTTATTTACATCCTTATCCTAACTATACACACCCCAATCCTATGCACCTGTACTTAGACGTACTTCTAAGTAAGTGGGCATAGGAATGCAGCTTTCATAAAGGGAAGCTGATTTCAACCTGGCCACTATTTGCTCCTCTATCCCATAGTCACATGGCAAGAAAAGGTGGTGGTGGGGAAACAACACAAAATTACTGGGAACACAATTGTGCTACTGCAAAGCATGTAGTGAATCTAGTCAAAAGAGTGAAGTTACATTTTGATCCATTCCCCATTGGGTGACTGCCTAAAAGGGAACGGATTTAAACCTCCCTGCCTGGAAAATTAGTCTAGGAAGATCCACAGCCCCGCAGATACCCGTCTGTGAAGAGAGGGGGGACTGCCTGATTAAATTACAAAAAACCACCCCCCACACCCAAGTACTTAGCCAGCTGCAGGACGATCAGGGGAGACTTTCTGGACGTCCCAGCAACTCCGATGTAGCTTGGAAGCAAAACACCAACGCAGAGACGCTCCCAAAAGCTGGTACAGTAAAAGGAACAGAGGGCAGAAAAGCCGACAAACAAAAAGCCGACAGACAAAAACCAGGGTCAAAACCGGTCAGCTTGAACGGGGCAAAGAGGGCAGTCCCTGGTCGTGCCTGGCCTTAAATGGGCTAGGCCACGCCTCCCTAGCCCCAGTTGCAATGTAAGCCCAGTATCTGTGCAAGATCACACCATTCTGTCTCTGCTTGATGGGCTACTCCTATGTATTCTCCATTATATTTGGTTTAGGATTTGTTGGTCTCTTCTCTACAGCATGTCTAATTCAACAGAGAAATTAGATAGCTACAAAGCAGTCAAGAAAAACAACAAACACTTAAACAACCAAACCAAACCATTTTGAAAAGCAGAGCTCAGTGAGAAACCTTGTTGCACAGATTAAGTCTTAACCTGATGCCGAAATGAGACCCAAGAAGGCAATTCTTTGATCTTTCGGTGGAGGGAGTTCCAGAGACGATATGGCAATACTCAAAAAGGAACCCATACCTAGAAGGTTCTCAGAAGAAGACATTAATGGTCAGGCAGGCTCACGTAGTCTGAACTGTTGTTCAACACGATAATCGGCTATCAGTTAAACTTTGAAGCTTCCCTTTTTTCACTTTAGAAAAATGACAACACAGAACTAAGCCACATTAGAGTTTGCACTTATGAGTTAGTTCTTTAAAATGCAAGGGCACCCACTGAAACAAATAGCCATGTTTGAATACTTTATTGTTGTTTAGGTTGCATCCAACTTAAATCATTGCATGTGCAGAACAACTCCCACAAGCACAACCAAACTCTCCGCTCTAGAGGGGTGGGGGTGGGGGGGAACCCAGAGCAGACTTAGGGGGAAAGTGGGGGTGGGGGGAGGAAATTCCTTTGCACTTGTGGGAGAATTCTGTGCATGCAATTATTTAGTTAGACAGAATTATAGGCTTGGCTCCATCACATTTTTATCGGTCCACAAGCCTTTCGTTACATATGGTACATGGCACAAAATAAGTGAAACGTGCAATTTTTATAAAGTTAAAGAATCCAGGGCAAATGCCCTATAAAATATCAAGCCATTTTGTTAGAGGTTATTCGAGTGTCGCTGATGAATTCCTGGATCATCGTCCTTGGGTACCTGCCATCAAACATCACTTCCTTCCGGCTTGCAGCAATATGACTGGCACCATTTCATTTATTGGCATATATCAAGGCCGTGCGTTAATTCATATTCCCCATATTTTCTCCCATCTGTCCTCATGTATTCAGTCCACCAGCAACATATCTACATCAGCACCGTTGGCTTTGTCATGCAACTCCGAATGTACTTCACCTGATCATTGAGAAAAGAAGAGAGAGAAAATGTTTCTCTTACCCTACTTTTGAAAAAAAATTAAGAACTTGGTAAGAGATGGGAAGGAGAAGCTGACATTCAAAGTGAGATTCCTTCTTCCCAGGACCATGTTTTTTAAGTAGAATACCAGAATTTATTACAGTGTGTCAAAGCTTTAATTAAACATCTTTACTTGAATTGGATAGGTGTTACAGTGGTACCTCAGGTTACATACGCTTCAGGTTACAGACTCCGCTAACCCAGAAATAGTGCTTCAGGTTAAGAACTTTGCTTCAGGATGAGAAGAGAAATCGTGCTCCGGTGGTGCGGCGGCAGCAGGAGGCCCCATTAGCTAAAGTGGTGCTTCAGGTTAAGAACAGTTTCAGGTTAAGAACGGACCTCCGGAATGAATTAAGCACTTAACCTGAGGTACCACTGTATTTTCTTCCCCCCCCTTTTAACTTTTTTCCATGTTTAGTAGCAACTTTTATTGGTTTTTGGGTACTTTGTACATTGCTTTGCACATAACTGTATTGAAAGGCAACTTTGGCAGTATTCAGACCCTCACTTTCGTTTATCTTCGTGATGTTCCTTTTCACATTTTATGTGATCATGGTGGAATCTAGTGAAAGTTTTAACACTCGTTTCCATGTGAATTGTTTGCAACCCTGCCAACTCGGAGAATCACAGGAGTTTTGCACTGACAAAATCTGGAGCATTGTATCAGCAAACTCTTCTTTACTGCCATTTAACATTTAGCATGGCATGCTGGTATATTGATCAAGAAGCCACCGTTCCGTTCCATAACACAAGATACTGCAATGTAAAGGGAACATTAGAACGCAGGACAGAACTAAAGCAATAAGCCCCACATCTGATTGAAGATCTGAAATCTTCGGGGGGGACGGGGGACGGACTGCTGGATAGAATGGAGGGTGGGGAACAGCAATAAGAAGATCAATCGAATTATGTGCATCCTTCCTTCAGGTGAAGCAAGATGGCTGGCCGGATTAGCTAATGTTTCAAAGAATTAAATAAAAAGCCTTATGGGTCAGCTGACTTAGATCTGTCTGGATATAGGATGGGAAAAGAAGAGTTTTGTTCCAGTCTCTGTAGCCATTGGGGTCCAAATGTTAATACAACAATCTTTTTTTTGGGGGGGGACTTAATGTGACCCACAGCTGCAACAGTAATAGAGTTTCTTCCCACCATTCACCTCATCATTACGTTATCCTTCCACCCTTCATTGATATGCATTTCAGTCTGATATTGAAGCACCTCTCCTTGTCTAAAGAAAGTTGCAGCATGTAGCGGAGATTAATTTTTTAGAGGCATATTCTTACCCAAGTCCTTTCTGAGAACAACTAGCAGCAATGGGATGGGTCATATTATGTGGTGGTAACTAGCTAAAGGGACGCGGGTGGCGCTGTGGGTTAAACCACAGAGCCTAGGACTTGCCGATCAGAAGGTCGGCGGTTCGAATCCCCGCGACGGGGTGAGCTCCCGTTGCTCGATCCCTGCTCCTGCCAACCTAGCAGTTCGAAAGCACATCAAAGTGCAAGTAGATAAATAGGTACCGCTTCAGCGGGAAGTTAAATGGCGTTTCCGTGCGCTGCTCTGGTTCGCCAGAAGCGGCTTAGTCATGCTGGCCACATGATCCAGAAGCTGTACGCTGGCTCCCTCGGCCTATAGAGCGAGATGAGCGCCGCAACCCCAGAGTCGGCCACGACTGGACCTAATGGTCAGGGGTCCCTTTACCTTTTCCTAACTAGCTAAAGGTGAGGTGGGAAAGAAATCCAAATCAGGACTAGCTCCATGGTTTTGTGGGCCTTCAGGCAAAGAGGTGGGAGCATGAGAAAGGCTGGCAGATACAACATGCCCATGCTTCCTAGGAATTCCACTCTGCTTCCTGTGCTGTAAATGTTCTCCTTTTCTTCCATGCAGTTGTGCCAATTCACTGCTCCTGTTCCCCATCTGGCCATTTACAGTGGTACCTCTGACTCTCCGTCTACGTCCAATGCTTTCTCTTCCTCACGCCGTGTGCCTAGTGATCGTTCTCTCCAGTGCCCTGGGCGCATTACTCTACCAAACAGCGCTAGCTCCTCCTCTGTTAAGGTAGCCCCAGACAGCACCTCTGTCACAGGCAGGAACTGGGATGGGCCTAGCTCTAACTCCGCCCCTTCCTTCATGGAAAGCACTGAGATCACCATGGATTCTGAGCTGGAGCCCTGCCGCAGCTCCCAGTACCCTATGAGCTCTAAGACCAAGCTGCTGCCCAAGCCCCAGATGTCCTCATCCCTCGGCAGGTTCCTCAAACTGGGATGCTTGAACTCTCCAATGTTTGCAACGTTCTCACCCAAGTGCCCTGGAGTGACTCATGGGAAAGTGCAACCACTCGATGGTCTGAACCCACAACTGCAACAGAGGTCCAAAAAAGTGTCCAAGTGAGTATCTCTCTGAGTTATTCCATCGTGCTTTGCTTTGAGAGCTGCTATAAGGGGAGATAAGGATTGGGGAGAACTCTGATTGTGTATGCATCTTAATGAGAAAATATCTAATTTGCCGTTGTTATCTAACCAATACAGTGGTACCTTGGTTTGCATATGTCTTGGTTTGCATAGGTTTTGGATTACAAACACATCAAACCCGGAAGTGCATGTCCCGGTTTGCAACCTTTTCTTTGGATTACAACCTTTTTTTTTTATTACGAACAATTTTTGGGGGGAGGCCCCATTGGCGAAAGCGCGCCTTGGGTTACAACCTGTTTTGGTTTACAAACGGACCTCCGGAATGGATTATGGTTGTAAACCAAGGTACCACTGTACATGAATGGAAATGTCTCTGAACTGTGGTGGTTCACTTCTCCAACCAATGTGTACTAAAAGACATCCATTAGATGAAAGTGTGCATAAAAATGCGTCTCTTGGTGAAAATAACATGGAGAAATGCATTGCTATGTTAGGAGAAATTGCTTACAAAAATGTGTATATTAGTCAAAACTGCATGCAAAAAAGTTTTGCCCCCAAATATATTTTCTTAAATTTCCACAAATCTCACATAAAATCCCAATACATAATATTTTTTCCTTTTGTTTTATAGACTTCACATCCCATTTTTGTTGGTGTTTCCCCCCCCACCTCTATGCTGCACCCTATCTTCCCTCTCTCATATCATAATCATAGTACAATGATTTCTGTTGCTCATAGTTCAAATCCTGCTCACGAATTCACCATATTATAACATTTCTTTATAAATAGTCTGAAAAAGACTACTGTTCTTCAGTGAAGCAGTCATTGTTAAGTCTCCTTATTTTAGCTGTTAACATTGCTGATTCAGCATAGTCCATTACCTTGCTTATCCATTCTTCTTTGATGGGAACTTCCTCATCTTTCCATTTCTGTGCATAAAGAATCCTAGCTCTTATAGTTACATACATAAAAAAAAACCCTTGACCATCATTTTTTGAACTACAAAAATGTTTTTTTGGGGGGGAAATTTGCACTGAAATACTGATAGATTTTCATGAGGATTTTTTTTTAAAAAAAATATCAAATATGTCTGCAGAAATGTGGAGAACTGAATTTAAGATTGGGAAAATGAGAAACTCAAATTAACAGATTCATCCATCTCTAGATGGACATCCTCCCTTGTGTGTCTCTTGGAAGAAGCCACTTCTGGTTTAGCCATAAGTTCTGAACTGTGAGAGCATTTGCATTTAAAAAAAACACCTTACACCTTAGGAATTAGCAGCCTAGTAATCCAGTTGTTATTAATTTATTGTGATTGGGAGCCACTTTGTAGATTTCACTGTAGAACTGAAAGGTGGGATACACACATTTTAATAAAATAAATAAATCCATCCACTTCTTAATTCCAAATACATCAGCCAGCCACATCTGTGAGGCAGGTGCCTCTAGACTCAGAATGCAAAGCTTTGCCTCCAACCATATACCGTATTTTTCACTCTATAAGACGCACCAGACCATAAGGCGCACCTACTTTTTGGAGGAGGAAAACAAGAAAAAAAATATTCTGAATCTCAGAAGCCAGAACAGCAAGAGGGATCGCTGCGGAGTGAAAGCAGCAATCCCTCTTGCTGTTCTGGCTTCTGGGATAGCTGCGCAGCCTCCATTCGCTCCATAAGACGCACACACATTTCCCCTTACTTTTCAGGAGGGAAAAAGTGAGTCTTATAGAGCAAAAAATACAGTACCCTCTGGTTGCCCCAGAAACAATTTGAGGCAACCATAGTAATGGGGAACTGATAGGCAGATGTACTGGAAGATCCCTTGTTTTGATTTTATCACAATAGCAAAAGTCCAGGCCAAACACCTTGCTGTTGGACTGTCTGTCTGGCAGATGCCCACACTGTGACGAGTTTTTCATTTTGCATCCCAGCTTCTTCCAGATAAAAATGGAAATACCTCTGGAGAGCAAGGTCTACCCAATAGATTCGGAGGAGGAAGAAGAGGGCAGCCACTGGGCTTGCAAGGATTCTGCAAATGAAGTTATCTGCCCATGGGAGAATCTGATAGAAGATGGAAAAGCTGGATAAAAAGAAGCCTTTGACGCTATTTGGATATTTTTAAATGGTTAATTTTTTATCCTGCTCCTGAATTGGCAGGTATAATTTCCGACAGTTCGACTGATTTCATAATGCTGTTAAAAGGAGTGCAATGGAATAAAGAATGAGAATAATCCACATGGATTGCAGAGCAAGAACCCAGATACATATTTATTTCAAAATTCAGAAATTTAAGGATGGCCTTTTTTTTGGCAGTTCAGTGCCTTCACTTCCTGGTTTCTTTTATGTAACTCTTAACTACATCAAGTGTATTTAGGAAACTCTCCTGCTTTGTTAGCCTTTCAGAACTATTGCATTTGTATTTATTATGCCTGTGCCCTGCTCTTCCTTTGGAAGGTCAGATTTACGTATATCTCCTACAGATCTCCTAACCAGGTACTGATTAGGTTGACATTTGCTTGGCTTCAACAATGCTATAGCACCAGGTACTCTTCAGGCCCGATATCTAACTCTGAGTTAGACTCAAATCTTGGAGCGGAAAATATATGTTTGATACAACATCATTTTCATTTATCAGATAAATATGACATTTTTTCGTTGAACTTTAATTGCCCTTCACAAAATCCTTTGCAAACATCTGTGAAGGGAAGATTGATATTTCCTTATCAGGAACTTCTACTGCAATTGATGTAGCTAAATTGACACATTTTTCTTCTTTTTTGTTGTTTCATATTGAATGTTATTTGCTAAATCCACATGACTCTTGGTGATGATGAAGGTTGCCTTCTGATAAACGGCTTGTAGCTTCTGAGTGAAATCAGACTCAGGTTCTGGACAATCCTATGTCTGGGTAATCATAAAGCTGATGAAATATTGGTAGCAGGGTCCTGCCTTTTCATGTTGCTCCAGCCTTGCAACATAGTCCATATTTCAGCGAAGCCAAAGACTTGACACGACTAATTGGAAGTCTGTTGTCTGTTCTTACTTTTAATCCCTTAGAGAACAGAGAACTTTCAACTGCAATATTATTCATCTTTTTATCTTGTTGCATTCTCAACAGTTTTGTAAAGGTAAGTCACCATCACTCCTGTTTTATATATAAATAACAGCTGAAGGGAATGACTTTGTCCGAAGCCACACAGACAGACACAGGGCATCCCTGTCTTTGTCCAGCTGTCCACACGCTGAACCGTTCTGGATCTCATCTGCACCGATTTATCTGCCTGAGATGCCTGCAATAACTTCATGTTTGTGATAATCTTATGGTTGACCAGAGTCCTCATTTCATGCTAACATGCCCTGTGGAACGCCCTCCCACCAGATGTCAAAAACAACTACAGTGGTACTTCGGGTTACATACGCTTCAGGTTACATATGCTTCAGGTTACAGACTCTGCTAACCCAGAAATAGTACCCCGGATTAAGAACTTTGCTTCAGGATGAGAACAGAAATCGTGCTCCGGCGGCACAGCGGCAGCGGGAGGCCCCATTAGCTAAAGTGGTGCTTCAGGTTAAGAACAGTTTCAGGTTAAGAACAGACCTCCAGAACGAATTAAGTACTTAACCCAAGGTACCACTGTACCAGACTTTTAGAAGACATCTGAAGGCAGCCCTGTTTAGGGAAGCTTTTAATACTTAATAGGTTATTGTATTTTAGTCTTCTGTTGGAAGCTGCCCAGAGTGGCTGGGGAAACCCAGTCAGATGGGCGGGGTATAAATAATAAATTATTATTATTATATTATTATAACACAGTTAAATACTAAGAACACTTCTGTATACCAGCCATGCATTCGGACTTGTACCTGCATCAATGGCACCGCAATATCAGATCAGTTCTTTATTAGGTCCATTTTCAATCTGTATTCTCCCCTCCCGCATCCCCACGACCTTCCCTACAATTGGGACCAGTCACAAGATCAGAAACACTAAATGCAAAACACCTCTACAAACAAGTTGGGGATCAGACTGTCAAATCTAGTTCGATTTGGTTCAAACAAGTTTAAAACCCATTCCCTCTTCCCAAGCAACTGTAGGATTTAGTTCTGTATGGAAAGAATAGTTTTCTAACAGAGTTATCAGCACCTCACCAAACCATTAACATAATATTTGGGATGTAAAACCAGTCTAAACTGTAGAGCAGATACTTCTATATTCTTCTGAAACACGAGCCCCTTATTTGTTACCCACTTTCTCACTGAGGTTATTTTTCGCTTCTGTTTCCCTGTGTTTGGTTCAGCTGAAATTTGCAGATTGACTGCATCTCCATCAAGCATTCCTCTATGTTCATATATTTGTTTTAGCCTTTAATAAACCAACACTGCACAGCTTTTTCAGCTGTCTGCCCTCATTACACACTATAGCTGCCTTTCTATATGGGTGATTTCCTGATAATTGAGTATATTTCCTTTATCTATATCAAGTGTTTTTGCTTCTAATGAGTTATAAATAAAACTACTTTGAATGACTCTGCTTGCGATAGGATATTTATGATCAACATGTTGTGTCTCTCTTACGTTTTACTTGTTTTGATTTCATTTATTGTTTATTATCATTTATCAATTCGTATGTCACATGCCAAAATGCCTTCCGAGTGGTTTACATGTATAAAATCAATACATGCACAACGATAAATCCATCGGAGCATAAAGAAATCCTTAATTAAATGCACCAGATTTGCAGAAGTTGTGGGCTAATGCGTGGTGGTCACTTTCCAACAAAAGTGCTGCCTTCATGTCTGAGAATGAAGACTTGAGTGTTTGTACACAAACATGTAATGTAAAGCAGCTCTCTTTATTAGGTTTTGTTCCAAGGTGCTGGGATTATTATTATTCAAAAAACAACATCCTGGAAACCAAATTTCCTTTTAAAAATTCCTGTGGCCGTAACTTCTTGGTAGAGTTCACCGTGTTCTCATTTTTCTCAACTTTGATCATCGTAATAGGGAAAATGTGTGCGCCTTTGTGTGAACGTGAACACATTCTGCTTTTCACCTCTTAGCGACTCTCTTAGCGATTCTCAGGAATCTGGTGCTCCCCTCTAGCTGCATTCTGAAGTTTATGGCTATGTTTTAGTGTGACTTAAAAACAAAAAACAAAAACAAAGATCATGGCCACTGGTCCCATCACCTCCTGGCAAATAGAAGGGGAAGAAATGGAGGCAGTGAGAGATTTTACTTTCTTGGGCTCCAGGATCACTGCAGATGGTGACAGAAGTCATGAAATCAAAAGACGCCTGCTTCTTGGGAGAAAAGCAATGACAAACCTAGAGAGCATCTTAAAAAGCAGAGACATCACCTTGCTAACAAAGGTCTGTATAGTTAAAGCCATGGTTTTCCCAGTAGTGATGTATGGAAGTGAGAGCTGGACCATAAAGAAGGCTGATTGCCGAAGAATTGATGCTTTTGAATTATGGTGTTGGAGGAGACTCTTGAGAGTCCCATGGACTGCAAGAAGATCAAACCAATCCATTCTGAAGGAAATCAGCCCTGAGTGCTCACTGGAAGGACAGATCGTGAAAGTGAGGCTCCAATACTTTGGCCACCTCATGAGAAGATAAGACTCCCTGGAAAAGACCCTGATGTTGGGAAAGATGGAGGGCACAAGGAGAAGGGGACGACAGAGGACAAGATGGTTGGACAGTGTTCTCGAAGCTACCAACATGAGTTTGACCAAACTGCGGGAGGCAGTGGAAGACAGGAGTGCCTGGCGTGCTCTGGTCCATGGGGTCACGAAGAGTCGGACACAACTAAACGACTAAACAACAACAACCACCTCAGTTGAACAAGTCTAGAAGCCATCTTCAGAACTTCAGGCTCAATGTCTGAGAGGAAGAGGCAGGTCCAGAGAGGGTGGCAGGAGGGTTTGTGTGCCTACCTGGCCCCTCTACACCCTTAAAACTTTGTGAATTTGAGTAACTGCCTGAAGAAAGTTATATAGACTTCCTCCCTTCAGGAGAAGATGATGCAAAGCCCTCACACACTGCTGGATTGGGGGTGGGGGAGATGTCTGGCAAAGCTGGGTGGCTGAATGCCTCCTCTCTCGCCAACTAGGCAACAAGGGAGGTGTTCTACAGAGTTTTGCTGCTTGCTGTTGTTGTTTAGTTGTTTAGTCACGTCCGACTCTTCATGACCCCATGGACCAGAGCATGCCAGGCACTCCTGTCTTCCACTGCCTCCTGCAGCTTGGTCAAACGCATGTTAGTAGCTTCAAGAACAGTGTCCAACCATCTCGTCCTCTGTCGTCCCCTTCTCCTTGTGCCCTCAATCTTTCCCAACATCAGAGTCTTTCCCAGGGAGTCTTCTCTTCTCACGAGGTGGCCAAAGTATTGGAGCCTCAGCTTCAGGTTCTGTCCTTCCAGTGAGCACTCAGGGCTGATTTCCTTAAGAATGGATAGGTTTGATCTTCTTGCAGTCCATGGGACTCTCAAGAGTCTCCTCCAGCACCAGCACCATAATTCAAACATTTGCTGCTAGTCCTTCTCTATTCTGGAAGCTTGGCAGCAGAATGTGGGTGTCGCACCTTGGCAGGTGTGTGTGTGCCGCCTGAGGTGGCCCCTTGATCCAGCATCATGGGCCGACCAGCTCTGTTTAAGGGCTAAGCCACAGAGGCTGAGGGAAGCCGTGCCTGGCTTGGAAGCTAATGACAAAATGAAATATTTGGTCCGCTGCTCTTTGGGAGCATGCTTGGCCATCATAAGAGGAAACTGACTCATGTCAATTGGCTTAAAATGGCTGCCGATATCAATCTGTCCCCAGGCACAATCAGAAACTAGACCTTTTGGGGGTGAGGTCATCTTGGTTTCTATTAGCCCACGCAGCAAAATGTCTTCCAATTTGTACTCCTCCCACCAGTCCACCCGAGATAAAAGGGGAAGAACCTGAAGAAGAAATTAGGGTAAAAGTTGAAGACTTTAATTTTTAAGAAAAGGAGCTAAATAATTGATGCAGCCCCGGTGCCAAAGGTAATTTCAGCTGTGCTCTCTCTCTCTCTCTTCCCCCCTCTCATACAAAGACATTTAGCATTGATTGAGATCAAAGTATTTAAAACCCCTGCTGTTGAACTGAAAGGCAAAACTTTCAGCTGCCTTTCTCCACTCTAATAATATCATCTTTATGTAGTTAATAAACTGCACACTTCAGTCAAACTATATCATTACAGAAGACTTAGGGAGCTAATAATTTAAAAGCAAAGAAGGTGCCTCTGTTCTCTGCTTTGAACTAAACAACATTCTGTTGAATGAGGGGGACATCAAAGCTTAGTCACTATTGCCAGTGTGGATGGAGCAGAGGGTCTCGCAGAGTGTGTACTTCAGTCATCTGAGGTAAAAAATGGGGGGGGGGCAGGTTGAGATTAAAGATACTGGCTTATCAAGCCACGGGCAAAACCAGGTGTTTTCTTTTTCTGCTGCGCAAGCATCAGGTGGTTTGCTTATCAATGAGTTTGCTTGTTAAATGGATGTATATGAATTAGGCTGGGCCTGGTGCTCTCAGCTCCAGCCAGCTTTAATAAGATCATTTTGTCCCATTCAGCCCTTCCAAAAAAAAAAAGAGTATGTTGACAAAAATCGCAGTTACACAGCAGGGGACAGGAAAGGATGGAGGACACTGAACGTTGAGAACTATTTGCCCTTTTCTGAAGATGTCACAGAATTACAAAATTGGAAGGGACCCCAAAGGTCATTTAGTTCAGCACCCTGCAATGCAGGAATCTCAGCTAAAGCGTCCATGACAGGTGGCCACCCAACCTCTCCTTGAAAATCTCCAAGGAAAGAGAGTCCACAGCCTCCCGGGGGAGACTGTGCCACTGTCAAACAGCTCTTGCTTTCAAGAAGTTTTTTGTATGTTTAGTCAGAATCTCATTTTTTCTAACTTGAATCTCCCTTTCTTGAGGCCTGTCATGTCAAACCTGGTCAGTCATTCAAGGTTTGAGTGGACTGCTGTAATATGCTCTCTGTGAGGCTGCCCTTGAAGACTGCCCAGACATTTCAAATGGTCCACAATATGGCAGCCACAAAGTTGCGTGGAGCTAATAGGATGGGCCATGTTAGGGCAGCCTGGGGCTTCCAGTTTGTTTCCAGGTTGAATTCAAAGTGCAAAGTTTGATGGTTAAAGCCTTAAATGGCCTAGGAAAAGGTCCTCTCAAGTGTCATCTCCTCCCATACAAATCTCCTCAGGGATCCCTCCACTGATGGGAACTTTCAATTTCTCACACCCAGAATATGGAATGATCATTCTACAGAGGTGGCTTCCACATTGCTGGCTTTTAAATGGAAACTGCTGTATCCTTAGTCCGGACATTTGCCCATCTAGCCTGGAATTGTCTACTCTGGCAGTGGCTCTCTTTCTCCAGTCTTTTCCAGCCCTGTGAACTGA